ATATAAACCGAAAACGAAAGTATTTTTTACAGGCAACATTTCATCCGTTAAATTTTCCCATTGGAGTTTCCGGAAAACCGTTTCATAGGAATATTAGCAAAATTTATATTCTAAAATTTGTATAACTTACAGGTTCGCGGATTTTGTAAAAACATGTTGCTTCTTATATATAATAAATGTGGTTATGTGACTTCATTCTTGGATGGGTCAATATAATTTGCTTAAATATTGGTGTGTAGTTTTAAACACCGATGTTGATGACATCGAGAAATTTATGTGTTTGTGTGGCAGTTTATTATTTTTTAGTCCACGTTGAATACCTAATGAATAATCAATACATTATGTAGCTATTTGTTTTACGGGATATGTAGATAGATAACACTTGTTCAATCTTCTGTACTCTTGCTCTATTAATAATATTAAGAACTAAATGGATAATGACATAATTCATGGGGCCGGTATACAGTTTCATATATCACAAACGCTGTGAGTCACGCAAGTGAATTTAGCCACTTCCAACAGCGACATCAATACAACACTAATTTAATCTATGGATAGACTACATGTATAGCAATTAATATGACAAAGTTATATTATCAAAATCAACAATTCCCAAAGTATTGGGAACCCAAGAGTTCCGTGAATTAAATGAATCGCATGAGCATGTTTTTACACGAATTTTATTCTAAAAATTGATAAATTTAATATTGACTTAATTGATATTGAATTAAATTGATATTAAATATCGAGTGGATGTATATTCTATCTATACATTACAAAGTATCGACGTATATACTTTTTAGTAACTTATGGTTGCTTTAAAAGTTTTGCAACCGCTGATAAGCCGAGCCGACAAGTCATGACTTGTTTCATATTAGGTCGTGTTAATTAAAATAATTTAATTCAAATGTTGGCTAGCTTTTAAAGAAATAGGTACTTAAATATATAAATTAAGTATTTATTTACTAACTAGATAAAATATAATACAAATTTGTAATTTTGTATTTTTAGGGTCTCAAAAAGAAAAACGTAATGCTTATAAGATCAGTTTGTTATCCTTCTGTCAAGACTTTTTTTCAGGAATGCGCGGAAGTATTAAGTTAAAATTAATATCAAACACTCAGGTCTACAATTCTTTCTCGAATTCTGTCTCGAACGACTTCAAGCGGGTTCCCCACGGCTCCGGCAATAGGTGGACGAGGAACACCAGGGGGTTTTAGCCGGTAAGAGTCCGGCAGTACCCACATATCTCCCCCGAGGTATGTGGGTCTGCATGAAGCATTTCCCCTCGGAAAAAAGTCTGCAATTCTTTAATACTGTGTAAAAATCAAACTTATACTCCTCTCCATCCAAAGGTTGCCTGGAAGAGATCACTTTTAGCGATAAGGTCGCCCATTGTATTCTCATTGTGATTATTTCTTGTAATTGTTTATATTTATGATAAGTTTACTAGTGTAATCTTTTGGAGGAAACAATAAAGAATCTATAATAAGAAATCTATCTATCTTATAAGTTAACGCTATCAAAAGGAATCAAAATTTATAGAGTACTTCCCGTTGACGTAAAATCATGAAATTTGGTAAGAAACAATCTTGTACTCGTATTACAGAATTAAAGGGAAAAATCCGAAAATTGCGAATTTGTAGTTCCATCACAATTTTTATTGCAAAATTAGAACAAAACAATAAAACACGCATAATTGTTTTTGGACTAAATCTACTAGCATTGCACATTTACAAATAAAAGAAATAGGTATTTAGTTAGTTACTTGGCTCAATATTCGATTATCGAGTGGCATGGCATTGCTGTGGATAATAATATTTTTTACAGATAGAATGTCAGGCTACATTGGAGAGATGTGAGGCGAGTGAGGCGAGGCTGGTGGGGAGACGCGGAGGGAGAAGGGGTAACGACTGGCAATCACCAATTCTGAGAATCGTACTTGTTTTCGCACCAGGTGCAATCATGCCACGTATATTGATGCACATTATACTTACAAAACCTTTGTAAGTTGATGTACCCGATGCCCATAAGGACAAGATGAAATAAAAACAAAAGTCAATAACTTATACTTAACTAAATGTTGCTTAATTAATTTAATTAAAAAGTATTTAAATAGGTTCTTAAAATACTTGTAGAGTGTAGATGATAGATACGTATGTATTTGAATTAAAACAATAATTATTTAATAAAGTAACTATATCTATCTACAGAGGTTGAGTTAAATATAGACTGTTTATAGCCATTTTAGCTCATAGTTGATGAAATACCTGTTTACGAAAATTAAATAATAGGTAGGTACTTATGCAATATTTTATTTTATACTTGAATAAGATGATAAACAGTTGTGACCTTCATTCACGGTTCAAGTTTCTCTTTTGATCACTACCTATTTCTACCCCTAGGAGAACCTCTCATGTTCAATGTTCTGTAGGACAATGTAAGTAACATTATCGTTGAAAACAAATCTGTTTGCTAATTAGCCCAGAATCTAAGGAAACATTAAAAATATTTAGAATTAATGTTTGACTTTTAAAATAATTGTCACACTACAAGCTTTATATATAATATCAAACGGCACGTAAAACCATCTTTCACGTTAGAGACTTTCCTGTACAGAAATGTTGTCCTAAAAATTCTTGACACTAAATGACATCTTTACAGATTAAAGGTCTCTAGTTCTCTACATAGAGTCGAATATAAAGATTATTATGCAATTAATCTCTGGTACTTTATGTAGAGTTAACTATAAAAAGTAATGCAATAGGTCGATAGATAAGTATTATCAATCTTTATTTTATTTTGATAGAGAATTAAATCTACATAAATATTAAAACGCCTCATTCACCCTACGTCGATTTAATAATATATACAAGTATATTATCCTAAAAAAACTTAATTTATATAAATCCGTAAAGACAGTAATATCAATACAGTAATTTACTCATCATATAAGTAGGATTCAAACTAAATTAAATAATAAAAAAACAACACTACTTACATCAGTAGTAACGAGGATGCTAGAAACTAAAATAATAAATAAAAAATATAAAGGGTCATATGTCGCTCTGTTAACAGTTTGAAATTTACTGCATCTGGCTATAATAACCATTAACTATGATGATTATTAAAACGTAAATAATCATCTTCATTACGCTATTACACGGGCAGGAATTTTAAATAAGACAAATGAGCAAAGTATTACTCGATTATCGGTTAGTTTTTTGGGGTCATCCGTGGTCTTTTATAATGCACTGGTGCAAGACAAACGAGCCGTCTAATTAGGAGTTAATTAATTATCCATTATAGGTAGCCAGTTATGTTTGTACTGTGCGTTTTTCACGTTCACATGTATACACTGTTTTTCAATGTAGTTTTATCCTTTACCATTACTTGTCCTTTAATTGGGTACATCCGATTCGATTAAACTGCACGCGAACTTAGGTATGTAATTTAAGCTCGCTGTGGGGTTTTTTTTGTAACACAGGGAACAATTGAGCATGCGGTTCACCTGATAGTAACTGACTACCGTCGCTCATGAGAACCTCTAACACTTAGCCGTTAAAAAAATTATGAGTCGCGTACATTAGATTGGGTAACAAAAATTTATTCTACGCAAACATTTAAATTATTAACTGCCAAGTGGTAAATATAACGAGCAGAGGAGGGCATTGTCACGTAGAATATTATGTACTTATACGAGTACATTATTATGTATTTGCGCACACAATGGACGAGGTTTCTGAGAATTTTTGTCTTAGTGCTTATTCACACCACCTGTCTGATGTTCTTTTGAGCTTTTTTCTGCTTAGGACATTGCGGTGTACTATATTGGGTCGCGATATTGGACTTGGCAATAATAAAATAAAAACACTACGGTATTATTCTACTTTAATTGACGTTTACTAAAATGGAGATCATTTAACGAAGGTAATTTATTTCATACACGACTTTATTCAATGGATTCTCACACAAGTCGGAGTTAAAAGGGTTCTTTTTATTCTTAAAGAATATGTCTTTTTCATTTATAAATATTTTTTTCTCATGGGAATGACACTTATCTGTGATAAAAGTATTCCATACGTTGATATAGATATTAATCATTACAAAAAATCATCATAATTACTAATGGGACAAGAATCGACAATTTTATTCTAAGTAAAAAAGCTACTGCATTTCCTACTGAATTTTGAATTTGCTTTCGAAAATTCAAATGCCAAATCAAGTATAAATAAGAAAGCAATTAAGATGGTATGTTTTGCCTAACTTATGCATTTTTGAAGACAATCTAAAGGGGGATTTGCAGTGTTTTGAAGAGAATAAGACTCTTTGTCATTTAAATAAACATGAAGTTAATTTTTTTTAACAATATTATTATTTCCAATTATAACAATGACTGTTTGTCCTTGACATCACGACACAGGGAATCCTAATGTGAAGTCTTGGTAACTAATGTATGTAACATACATAATATGTTGTATGTCTTTTGGCGCCAATAAAATTATTATAACTATTATTTACAAAATACAATTAACTAGTAGAGATATGCAAAATAAACCCACCAACGGTTAGGAGTGATGTAAAATTTGTTTAATTTTTTGGCAAAGGGGAAGAATTAGAAATTACAACAATTTTGTTTGCATGGCTGCTGTATTTCGGTTTCAAGGGTTGGATGTGGCAAAGAAATTGCAGGATATAGAGTGATAATACCTTAGTTCTCAAGAATGGCAATGACTGAAGGGTCTCATCATACGCCACACAGTAACTCTGTTATGTCCATGGTACTGTTCATGCGTATAGGTTATCACTTTCTATAAGGTAGGTCGTCAGCTTGTTTGCCATTCTAATTTACATAAAAAAAAATATCATACAAAATATAAAACATAGCTGTTACATAACGGGCATCCAATATATCTAAATTTTTAGAAAATTTATTTTGATTAATTTGAATTTATTTTTACATATAAGTTGTATATACTTGGACTTATTGTAAAACTCACCATTCGATACTTCTGTATCCCTTGACGCAGCAATGTATGCTCTTGAACTTGTCTTCGAAACCAAATTCAGTGGGGACAGGCTCTTTGGTAAACTGCATCCCAGCGGTGTTACTTGTAAAGGTATTCACCGAACAGTATTGACCTGCAGTCCCCAGGACTTCTGCGACGCTTGCCATCAAAGTAAGGGTCAGGAACCTCCACATGTTCATATCTGGAAAAAATATTACTATTAGATATATGTATACTCACTAAATTATATTTTTATATACCTACTTGTATTATAAAGGGCAGTCGCAGCCAAGATATAGATACCATACCATGTCAGCCCTTAATTGTTCACTACTAAACATAAGCGTCCTCCTTGGGGAGTTTTGCCAGTAGTTGTCATGCTTGGCAGGCGAGTTGTCAACCGCAGTTAGGCCTTGGGGATGTTTTAAGAGGGATGTTGCTGCCCATACCTTAGCGACTAAGGGACGTTAAGTTCCCTTACTCGCTTTTTACAACATTCACGGGTAGCCTAGTTACAATGTACAAATATATTTTACTCCGCCAAAAAAAAAAAACACGGAGTTTAATAGTGATATTATACCGATGGACGATATGTTTCACAAAAAAAAACCCGCCGACTTTAGCAAACCCAGTTATTTTGATTTAAGACTAAACTAAAGAAGTCCAAATTGGTCTATAAATGACGGGAATAAACATAAAAATATACAACCGAATTGATAACCTGGGACAAGAGACATTAAAATCGGTACAAAAATATATAAATTTAGAACATGGAATTTTTTTATAACATTTCGCTTTGCAGCACGTAGTATTTTTCTCCATTACAATATACAATAAACAGTAGCAACATAAAGTGACTATTGATTTCAGTAGGTTATTATGGGATCAACATAGCACTCATTTCTACTAAAATAATTTAAGATGAAGAATATTACCACTCTATTTTACCATATAAAAAACCATAGAAAAATGTCAAAAATTATTGTAGTCTACTTTACTGTCATAGATACTGACTCATATAGGTAAATAGGTAGGTGTGCGTTATGAATTTTCTGAGAATAGTTTATCTATATTATTCTGTACATTCGTACATACATAACACTCTTAGATGGAATTTACTCTATTTATTCCTATTGTAAGTTAAAAATCACGTCAATAAATTATAGAGATGTATCAATACTCGTAGATAATTTTTTTATGATTTATTGGAACTTGACGATCTATTGGACGATACAATCGTTTAAAGTTTAGCAAATTTTCCTTGATCATGAACTAGACAAAGTTTATTATTTTGTATTTTCATGTCTTTAAATCCCTGGGCACAAAGAGCGATGTATTAAAGGGTTATTTATCTTCTGAAACAAAACACCGATCGTGGTAATAAAGTTGAATATATTTAAATAATTTGTTTACCTATATAAACGTGGTACTATACAATTAATATACCTAATAGATAATATTTATAAAATATCGCTACCAAGTCGGACAGCCCCGAATTATAAAACGTGATAATAAAAGGTGAGTATAGCCGACGGAAATATTTACAACAGATAAATAGCTATATACCAATATAGCACTGAATCGGAAATTAAGCGAAAGTAGATAAAACGAAGATTCTATTAACTACCAACAACAGAGATATTTTTTAATATACTTGTATATCTGAGACCAAGACGGTTTGGGCGACGGATGACGAAAGTCGATAGGAGTCAAAGTTGGACAACCCATACACAGAGTAAAAATCTTTAGATATTACTTTAGAGAACTTTCTATTCCTAATCAGTATTTACAAGGGGGAAAGGTATTGTTAATAATGGGGTCAAATAGGTCCATTACGACCTTCACGCAGTTCCCTCTAAAAACAACCGCGATTAATTCTACGAGTAGTTGAATTCGTTAGGATTACCTAACTATACTGCTTTCATCCCTCACTGATGTCGCACTAGCGTAATCAGAGTGCAAGCGGGATTATACACAACGCTAAGTACTTATTTTTGATGTTATCAGTGCTTACAGTAATATATTATATTCATCATATAAATGATACTGGTTTAATCCATTTGAAAACGAATCGAAAGTATTTTGTTGTGGTTCATTCATTACTCATAATACAGTTATTTGTCTGTATATGTATGTACGAGTATAGTGTAGGTTTTACTGTGACTCTCTTTGTTCTAAGAAATTCTTAGTTCTCATTTATGGCATTACTCATTAACATTTTCTCAGGATATTGCTTCATACTATTTTATTATTTGAGTCTTTTGTATAAACACGACATGCCTTGTCAAAGTTATTAAAGAGACTTAATTTTACAATAGATAAAAGTATTATAGTAGCTGTGAAGCAGGTAGAAACAATTGTCTAGAAAGTCCAAGGATTATGATAATGGGTACCTACAACTATTGCAGTTCTCAGTAAGGCTCGTCGTGTCTATGGTCGTGTCATAGTAGGTACAGTCGCTCGCAAAAATATGTAAAGATATTTGTAATTCTCAATGTAATTATTAATGGAATAATAAATAGTCTAATAATAAATGACAATTCAATATCTTGATAGATGGTCTTTACGCGATCTATCCGGAAACCAGGACTAAATTCAGGGAGGGAGGAGGTATGGAGGTGCCGTCGCCTGGAGCCGTGATCCAAGGGGGTCGTAAAGATCGAAATGGAGTCACAAAATTTAAGAAAAGTCTTCGTTGTTTTTTCGTTGTCAATATTTGACTAGGAACATTTTGAGTACCTTAAAGGTTGGTAATCCAGTTATTTTTCGTCAACACGTTGGCACTGGGCATCGTCAACTCAAGGAAACCTCAGAATGTAACATTAATGCCGTGAAATCTGCAGTACAACTAAGATCAGGATCCCTTCAACATTAAACCAATTTTGCACACTAATTTTATGTCATATTTAGGTAAACGGACCGACCTCCTAAATATTATGGTTTTGTGAAATTAAAGCATGGTTTATGAAATCCTAACAGGATTATTCGTAAAACTATTAATGAAATATTGCCAAAACTAATTTCAATGTCGCTATTTTTGTAAAGTAAATTATGCTTTAGCGGTATCATTTTGGGAAAGTATTAAAATTTTAAATCTTACACGTGGCTGTACTTGCTAGTGTATTGTATTTTTGTAGTCAGCACCATTGTTTGAACTATCAGCAACACGCGGTTAAGTCGAGACACGATTTCAGCATTTTGTCATTATATAGTTAGGCAGCTACCTAACCCGCCTAGATAACAAGGTTTTATTCATAAAAACGCCCAATAAACATATTGTAACTACTATTTATTATTTTTCTTGTAAATTATGAATTTATAGTCGTAATAACAAAGTATGTTTAAAAAAGGCTGAAATTGCATTTTTTATATATTATATAATTATACATGAAACATATTTTTTGATAACATTTTTACAAAATGAATACAAACACACACGCACGTATAGACACACAAGAAAATACCAACATCGTTAGCACCAAATTTTTTATTATAAGAACAAGTATAAATACATAATATTGTAATAAGGATTTGACCTAAATATCGAACAAAACGACGAAACCAATTACCAATTCCGTGAATATGCCGTTTGCAAATGACCGGGCCCTAGGTTCTTGGAAAAGTAATTACTATAGCACCTATATTATATGTATCTCTTTCTCATTTCTCATCGGTCCTTGAATTGTCAATGAATAAAGAAAAGGGATGGATATATAATTCTGGGAATCATTTGTATTTTATGACTTTAAATATGGACCTGCATACAATATTATAAATATAATATATAAAGTTCTTTTTTTTTGGTAGGTGAAAATGAATTGGTGACCCCGCCTGCGCTATCGGTTTTACATTGGCAGAGCAACGAAGATGATAGGTGAGGACGAAGCAGATCATTGGCCCATTGTGACGAGTTCAACAATAATTAAACACGATGGTATGGTTTCCACAGAGAACCGCACTGAGGTTGATCTGATAAGATATATTGCTAGTAATGGGGCTGTTAGTATATCACATTACTTACAATCCCTTTTTCCACATACAAGCTCTTCTTTGGGGGACAATATTCCTAATTTTACAACGATGAAACCTAAAAATTATACATAATAATATACGGATAAAAGAAACTTAAGGCATAGTATAAACTCTAAAACGCTCATCAAACACGTTGTGTATAAATAATAATTTCAGTTGGTGTATATTTCAATTCAAAATAGAATAATAACATGGTTCACATCAGTACGTATACAAAAAAAACATCTAAAATGTTGACACATTTTGTTTATCTGACCAATTAATACAGCCTGTTTGAAAGCTATAAAGTACACAAAAATATTAATGAAATCATGAAATTTATTTTAAAATTATTTTTACTATCAAGAAAGTTTTATTATTATTGATTTATAAATAACGCTTTGATATTATGAAATATGAACATTTTGAGCACCATTTGTTATTTTGAATCTGATATATTTTGAGCTTAAACGTAACCTTATTAAATAGAATTTTTAATATAAGAAAAGTCAAAAAGTAAATATTTTTTATGCAAACTGTGTAGTTTGTATAATTCCGAAATCTTCGCCTTTATTACATTTATTTTAAAATCTCACTACATATCTTCACATCACACTCATATATTCTATTCATACTCAATATGAATAGAGGATATGGAGCAAGCCATCAGTCAACTATCTATGAAATAGTAAAAACATCATAGATAGATATACTATCGACTTATATTCGTATCTATTAGATATTGAACAAATGAATTAATGAAACCATCAAACAGTCAATGTATATTTGTAAATTGTATACAATATATGAATAATTAATGCACTATTATACCTAAGATAGTCTTCTAAAAGTTTTGAATTTTCTCTATCGATCATGTGACTTGCATCGGTTTTCCAATCACAGTTCATGTACATTTTACGTAATTGTATGGATTTATCGTTTGTACCTATATTTAGTATAAACGTAAATTGTTATAACCTTTATATTGGTCTATGTATTAATGAAAAACGGTAAGCGACACCAACTTTCAGGAATTATTAATATCTGGAAATCATTTTATGTTCGACGCATCCTGAGCAATCAACGATGACCAATAGAAGAACGATCGACGCGCGACGAGTTTTCTTTCACCGTTGGCATAGTGCAGCTCGTCCATAACGGTAACATAAGGTCTAAGGCTTTGTATACAAATAATACAGATATAGATTTTCTACGATAATATAACAATGCACGCCCCTCCAAAATCCAAAGAATTAAAAATGTGTGAGTAAAAATATTTACAAGGTTTTAACCAAGGAATATAATACTCCTCGGCTGGACTGACACTAAAGACATTTCCTCACAAACACAAACAGACCACCACGTCTGTATTCATTGGTCTGGTCATACAACACAGTCAAAAGCCGAAAGGGCGTACCATGTTAAATAGACATACTTTACTTAAATTGATTTCATGCAAATCATATTAGAATTTAGAATTATGAGGTAGGTACGAAGGCTCTTGAAACCTTTTTTTATTAACCTCGAAGTGCAATCTAATTGTATAACATCAATATAATAGGTACTTAGGTACCTTATGTTACGGTACATTCTGTTTTTTTTAGTTATCCTAACAGCCCAAATGGATTTCGATGAAAATTATTTAGCTAATGTGCTGTCTTGAGCGCCATTAAATAAACAAAAGACAAATATCATAAATCGGTAGTTAAAACATTTTTCCGCCAATGAGATCATACGACAGTTGACTTCTTCACATTCATTCACCTATAAGACATATCTAGATTAAGGAATTACGTGTCCAAATCAGCATTTAAAATTAGGTAGGTATACTACAAAAACTAAGAATATAATTACATTTAGAGTAGATAAACACGGAATGTATGAATCAGGTAATGCCCGGCTTAATCCTTATACAAATCATAACTTCCACTCTAAGTATCTTCAGATAATAATAACTATTTTGATTACCTTTACCTACTGAGGATAATAGGCCTGGTTATTACAAAAATGTGTCCTTTTATAATATGAGTGTAATACACATTTTCTGAATTATTTTTGTACATTTAAATTCGAGTCTTCTGCAATCAAAGAAACCTTTGTCTTGATATAACCCCGTACAAAGCTATTATTACAAATGTATTTGCTTTTATATAGTTGTAGCGTGCGCGATGGTAGTTGTAATACAAGGTACTACAGGCCGGCGCATCGACCAGAGATTTTTGCAATTACCGCCGTACGGCATACTCGTATCTCGTGGTAATTTGCCGCTCCTCGGCCTCTGATCGACTTCTCGGAACCGCAGTTGCATCAACATCGACTGTGCACTCAGCTATTGCGATTAACGCACTAATTACTGCGTGCGGCACCGCTGTAAACCACGGCGGTGTTTACACGGAAAAGTCGATGACTTTTCCTATTGAATAAACAGCCTCGGCCTGATTAAGTATATAATACTTGAGATCTGTTTTGTTGATTTCCTAGTATTTGTGTGCATGCATTAATAAAATGTCACATTATAAAACACACGTACACAACATAAATATTTATTTTGGTTATGTTGTTAGTATTGAGAACAAACATCATTGAATTCTGATACTCAGAACACATTTTATAAACTACATTATTACTCCAATTAAATAAATATCAAATATTCAATCATCATTCAAACTAGCCATTATTAGTAATTGACAATTAAATATGGGTTTTCATTTTTGCCTTAACCAAAAAGAAACTGTGGCTCTACAAAAATTAGAAAATTAAAGAGTTATTATAATCAAAAACAATATCTAGTCTAAAACTTATTTGGATGACTTAAAAAAGGTATAAATATATATGTATGTATATGTGTATGTATGTATATATATTTATATATGTATGTGTATGTATATATTTGGATGTATGTGTATGTGGCGTCTGTAAATAAATATTGTTAATATTTATCTCATAGCCACTTGTCAACATCATTACTTTCTTTTCCATCAAGTAGGTTAATTTAATTGTACATAGATATTTCACCTCTTTCTATCTTTCGCACTGGACATACAGACATGACAGCGACGTTTACTTCACACATTCATTTCTGCTGTCATTCTCTCATTATATAAAAATCAATAATATAATCAAGCTAGTTGTTACTTATTTTCGTCCAAACAACTACATGTATATGACTATGCTGTCACAGATATTATTTTTTACACATCTATTTTTTTTAACGCGCCACCTATCTATTTATGCTTTAATTCCTTCTACCAAAAGGTTGTCTGGAAGAGATTGCTTAGCAATAAGTCCGCCTTTTGTACTACACTATATGTATTGAAAATTGTTAAACAAATCCTGTTATGTTGGTGTAATAAAGTGTTAAATAAATAAATAAATATAAAAAGTACAAAAATATATAAAGACAAAAATGGGAAATGAGGAAGAATTAGAAAAAGATACTATATATAAAAAGATAATATATATATATATATATATATATATATATATATATATATAATAAATAATGTAGTATGATCAAATACTAACACACAAAGATAAGTATCCAGATAGGAATTTACACATTGTTGAACTAATATCTATCTAAATGTTAAATAAAATATTTTTCTTTAAAAAAAACAGTGTAACAAGTACATTAAGAAATAAATACCATAAAGATAACAAAGGAGATAGTTTCAATTAAAATCTACTAGTATTTTATACAGTTGTGACAGACAAACTCTAGACACATTTCAGTGTTTCATTAGTATAATATATTACTTCCCTACTGAAATAATGTATTTAATAACAGGTATAACATTATGAGTTAATTAAGTTTTTTGTCAATAATAAGGAAGAATCAATTCAAGTGTCTCATGATTACTAACATTGTAATTAATTAAAAATTTGATATTATTTAATTATGTTATTTATTACTTTAAAACAAGTATATAAATATTTATAGTAACTTTATTGCTACTAGAAACAGGAATGATAATATATAAACTTATTTTAACAAAAATAATAATTTTAATTAAAAAAGAGTAAGTAGGGATAATACAACAAAAAGTACAAATTATATTCTATATCTTCACTAATAATATATATGTGCAAATGAGTTTGTTTGTTATCTCTTAGTGCTTTTAAAGCTCAATCAATCTTCAAAAAATTTTACACACATCAAGATTAAAATTGTGATAGAAAAGAGCATTGACTACTTTTTATCCCAATTGATTTATAATATACTAGTTATAGATAAAGATAATAAGCAAAAAATAAAAAATATCGCAGACTAGTTGGTCTACACAATTTACTATTAGTTATTAGTTAGTAACAATTTTAAAACTAAATATGTATGCAGATATGGAAAATTTCTCAATTTATTTGTACTGAATATAAATTATTTGTAATTTGTACTTGAAGGATATTGAATTAAATTATTAATTTAAAATTGTCTCTACACAACAATACCTACTTTAATATTAATAAAATTTGTATGAGAACATAGCAGCAGCATAACACACTATCGATTAAAATTAAAAACACTTTAGAATTGATTTAAATATCGCATAAAATACAAGCCGGCAGGAAAAAACAATCTTCTTGTATTCACTTAAAAGTACGTAAATAAATTACAAAATACAGAAATCTTAAGCATGTCAGGTTATCTTTTAAAAATTTAAGAGAAAGTTTCAATAACACTATTGCGGCACAACGATTATTATATGAAATAGTACCATGCAATAAAGCGACCATTCGATGTTCATTTTACATAATTAACAATGCTGATATTTATTATTTTTATATTTTTAATAAAGGTAAAACAATGAAAACAGATTTAAAAACTTTTAGGTACCTAACATAAAGAAAATATTATTACTCACCAAATCTAGAAATGATAAATCCTAAGTTCTGAGAAGTGTAACTCAACAAATTTTCCTATTGTTAATTAGTATTGTTCTAAATCATTGCACGGCACTTATAGAAGTATTCCTAAGTCTTTTTATTTAACATAACGTTTTAAAAATATTAACTATATCGATGCTCACTTTTTTTAAAACAAATTCTTCGTAAATACACATATTCTCAAAGCAAAGCACCGCGTGCAACTGACATTAAATGTCAGATTAGAGATAGTAAGAATGAATGAACTGTAAATGAATGACGAAACCAGCGGGCAACCCGGTTAATGTTGCCAGATCGTTATTTTATTTTTACCATGTGGACGGTAGGATTTTAATGAATGAAAATGTGTTACACCCTTGCATGGACTATGTTTTTCAATGGATGTTATGGCATATGAACGTTTAGCAGATATTTTATGGGATAATCTGAACTAAACCCGGTAATTTGCGATAAGTTTTATTGCGCTGACCATTTTTTTTAAGGATGATAATGGAACGGTAACCCCACTTGCGCTATCAGTATACACTGGCACGGCACTAATGAAGGATGATAGGTGAGGATGAAGCAGGTCAGTTGGCAAAATTTGTCACGATGATTTCCAGGGGGAACCGCGTGGAGATCGACTTGTTAGCAATGAACCTGTTAAATCTCATTACTAACGACCTCTCACCTCCTGCTGATCATGTTACAAAGCAGGAAACAAAGAGAGATTTAATAAATTAATCTATCATAACCAATACACATTAGTCTATGCTATAAATCACAGATTAAGAATATGGCTCACAGCTAACAATATGCACTAGCAGAGTACCAGTGAACGACGATAAATTAGAATAAAAAAGCAGGCTAGGTCATTGTTATTTCGCTAGTAATTAAACACAATCGAATTCGCGAGAAGGTCGACAGAGTATATTATTAGCTACTAATCCCTGTTACTAATATTCCCTTCCCCTAGCTACATGATTGGATTATGTTTGTTGCTAGCGAAATACCAAAGGGGGATAATAGGTCAGAAATTAACTGCTATAGTTTTCAGGAAGGACTAAGTATATTGCTAGCAGTAGAGTGCTACTAATATGAAACGAAAAAGACATGATAAAGGTAGATACTTGGACGCAACAATTTTTATTACATCTATTATCCACTATAAGAGACAAAAATTTTGACAATAAGTTTATACACTTTTTAAGCTTGCGGTAAGTTTACTATTGTAAACTTTTACATGGAAGAGTAATCTATCGTTTTGTCAATCTTATATTATTTGCTATGATAATATTTGATTTGAAATTAAATATAATGCAGCAAACTATTTTAATAACTGTAAGATATTAAATCTGAAATTTATATTTATTAATTATATCTATAGTTCATTTCAAAAGAAATTAATTAAAGTATTAACAAAATAATTAAGTTTATCATAGTCTGTTAATATATAATATAATAGTAGTAATGTAAAATCGATTAACTGATTGGATGTTTCGACCATAATGATATCATGCCTCTGCAAAAAAATTTACTTACCTTTTTACTTAATTTTATTATAATATAATGTACATCCATGTTTACTGATTATTGTAAGCAAATTAGAAATGAAAGATTTTTTTTTATTAATTAGTAGTTCCTTGTTTCTATTATGGCAATATTATTTATATGGCAGGAATTTAGGCGGGAATTTTTTAAATTCAGGTTAGACAGTAATCTGTAGTACGAGGGAAAGGAATTGTTAGCGATGGGGTCCAACAGCCCCATTGCTAGCAATGTTACTAATCTGGTCGACCTTGATGAAATTAAAATAAAGGGAGAAATCTATATAGTATATTATATTTTATTTAACTTTAGATTGAGAGTAAACAGTAAAAGGTAACCTAGCAACGCGTGAGCTCCATAGACTAACATAACACATAAAACCTACTTCAACACCCCCACTGGAGTCCCATGCGTTGCACACAATAACTGTGTTTAATAGCACCAAGGGATTTAGTCAGAACATCAGCAGGCATAGAGCCTGTATCGCAATATTCAACTTTAATGTCCTTACCTTCGGCTAACTCTCTAACATAATGAAACTTAATATTTATGTGTTTAGACCGTTTACCAATTACCGGGGAATATGTCAATGATCTGGCACTTTGACTGTCACTAAAAATAGTTACACATCCTACATGACCAGTTAACTCTCCATATAGACCTTTAACAAACATAACGTCTTTAGCTGCTTCACAGATCGCAATGTATTCAGCCTCTGCAGTACTTAGTGCTACACACCGTTGTTTACAAGCCTGCCATGAAATTGTCCCACCTGCATAAATTAACGTGTAGCCAGTAAACGAATGTCCATCAGCATTAGCACCCCAGTCAGCATCTGCATAGGCAACTAACTCGCTTTTGCTTTTCTTGAAAGTGAGCCTCGCATCTATGGTACCCTTAAGATACTTTAATAGTCTCTTTACGGCAGACATGTGTGATGATGCAGCACAAGAACAAAATTTACTTAAGTAGCTCACCGCAAAACTAATATCTGGTCTTGTAGCACATGACAGATACATTAAAGAACCTATAATTTCTTGATAGTTGGGAATCTCGTTGGTTTCCCCTTTTTCCAACTTACAGACACAGGGTCAGCACCGTCAGACATATAAAAGTTATAGACCATATCTGGATCTCTAATCAAACGTCTATCTCTTAATGGATACCTTCTTTCTTGAGTCACTAGCTCTTGTATACCATTTCGATCATTTATACCTCTTTCAGCTGATTCTGTAGAGTCAACCATAATTTCACCTGGTTCAGTACAAATAGAATCATGAAATACTTCATCCACGTCTGTTGTGCTTGAAACATCTTGGCGTACAGATTCTGTGTGTAGTTGTTGTGTGACCTTCGTAATATCAATAGGCACATTTATATTCTCAAGATTTCGAAGTCTTTTACTTTCACATGGAACCGCCACTACATCTGATGTTATTGGACCAAATTTAAAAGGATTATTATTTTCTCGATCTATATAACTCTCTGTTATCTTTTCATTAAAAATCGCATCACGAGCAACTATAAATCGCTTTGGGTTAGCCAAGTTTACGAATTTATAACCCATATCACTGTATCCAATCATTGTCATCTCTACTGTCTTTGAATCCATCTTCTTTCTACTACCATCTTTTATAAGGACTTGTGCAGATGATCCAAATACTCTAAGATGAGAGAGATCTACTTTCTTACCTGTCCAAACTTCTTCAGGAACTTTATTTGAAAGAGCCATAGTAGGTGATCTGTTCTTTAAGTATATAGCACAATTCAAAGCTTCACCCCAAAATCTCTGATCAAGATTATTATCATGTAACATGCACCTAGCCTTTTCAACTATCGTCCTATTGGTTCGTTCCGCTACACCGTTCTGTTCTGGTGTGTGAGGTACAGTTCTCTCGTGTTTAATACCGCGACGTTCTAAATAATTTTGAAATTCTTTATTTGTATATTCTGTACCATTGTCGCTACGAAGTCGCTTTATTTTCTTACCAGTCTGATTCTCGACAAAAGCAACAAATGAACAAAATTTAGAAAATACTTCAGTCTTAGACGATAACAGATACCCGAATACCTTTCTACTAAAATCATCTACTAGAACTAGACAATATTTCGCTCCTCCCCAGGATGGATCAAGAGGACCGATTAAATCAGTATGTACTAATTCTAAAATATCACGTGCACGCTTATGTTTCCTTTTATTAAACTTCTTTCTCTGTCCCTTTCCTTGATAACAAGCTACACAAAAATGCTTTGATGGTTTTCCCTTTAGAGATAAGCCCGTTACCATCTTTTGTTGCATTTTCATTTGAGGATATGACAGGTGGCCTAACCTCCTATGCCACAATACTAAATTATTATCATTTATATCAGCTTCACCAAAACTAACAAAATTGCTAGCTGCAGCCGTAAATGATGTTGAAATATCACAATCCTTACGTGTCTTTATTTGCTCAGGTCCTAGAATATATAACCCCTTCTTTAAACTCGCTTGAATCAAAGGAACTCCTGATATGGAAACACTATTATTATCATAAAACGTGCAGTAATTTTTGTCAAATACTACCGTATAATTATTCTCTGTCATTTTACTTACCGACAATATATTAGTAACGAGGTTGGGTACGCATAAAACGTTTTCAAAATCTACCTTAGTGTTACGATTTTCATGATTCAATTTTACCTTGATCTTTCCTTGACTTTCGGAAATTATTTTATGATCATCAGCAGTTGTTATAACCTTCGAAATATGTTTCGGTTGGTCAAGGAGAGATTTAATTGAGGTCATGTGAGATGTAGCACCAGAATCGACAACCCACATATTACTAGATTTGTTAGCTGAAAATAAGGATATCTCATTATTACCCATAACAATATCAGTAACTAAACCTACTTTGTTACTATCTACGTTACATTTGTTGATAAATTTTTTACATTGCCATTTAAAATGACCTTTTTTCTTACAAAAATGACAGATAATTTGTTTTTTACGAGGTTGATTACTACTATAATTATTAGAACTTGTACTATTATTAGACACTAGCACTGAGTTCTCCAAATTGTCGCCCGATGACTTCGACTGCTGCCGCTGTCCTTCTATAAAAAGAGCAGAAATAACCGCTTCCGTAGTTATAGAACTAGCAGAATGCTCTAGTGCCATCACCAGTCCATTATATGATTCTGGTAACCCTGCTAGCATAATTATAGCGACGAATTCATCATCAAGTTTCTGGTTTATAGATTGTAGCGCCTGTTGGGTTGCTTGCACTTCGTTGACGTATGCCTCTATTCCCGAAAAGTCATTCAACTTCATATTGAAAAGTTTCTTTAATAGCGTGAGGCGTCGTAATAAACCACTATCAGCGTATGCCTTCTTCAAAGCAAGCCAGGTCTCCCTTGCCGTTTTAGCATTATTCACAAGTGGATATAGATATTCAGCTATCATTAAACAAATTTTTGACCTTGCTTTACCATCCAACTTGCTTTTCTCTGCATTATCCGGTATAAAATCTTCATTATTAACGCACTCCCACAAATCTAAGTCAATCAAAAACATTTGCATTGCGAATGCCCACGATCCATAATTGGATTGGCCGATTAACTTACTTATAGTTGGAGCCTGCATTATTTTACTATTTTAGGTTTGCTGGCCCATAACCTGATGAAATTAAAATAAGGGGGAAAAACTATATAGTATATTATATTTTATTTAACTTTAGATTGAGAGTAAACAGTAAAAGGTAACCTAGCAACGCGTGAGCTCCATAGACTAACATAACACATAAAACCTACTTCAACAGACCTCCACGCGATTACTTCTCGTGGGATTTTTCACCATGAGCTAACTGACCTGCTCTCATCCTCATCTATCACACTGGTGCTCCGCCAGCGTATTCCGATAGCGCAGACGGAGTTACCATTTCATTATCACCCATTAAAAAAATCTGTGTTGCGAAAACAACATAGCGATATAATGGTATTACGTTTTCCTGACTGCTTTTCTTTATTTTGTTAATCAAATGTAAAATAAACTATATTGTCATCAAATACCCTTTTAATATAATAAATGTGAAAGTTTATGAAAAATTTTGCCGTGTGATCCCGGCATAGAATAGGCTACCCCTTTCTTTCCCATGGGTGTCGTGAGAGTCGACTAAAGGAGGGCGAGGGATAGGCAGCAGCATCCCTCTTAAAACATCTCTAAAAGCCTAACTGCGTTTGCCAACTCGCCTGCCAAATGTGACAACTACTAGCAAAACTCTTCTTATGATGAAGGCTTATGTTCAGCAGTGGACAGTTAACGGCTGAAACAATAAAAAAGCCCCATTGCTCGTAATTTTAGATTATATAGATAGATCCTCAAGCCTCAAAAAAGGGGTCAACTTTTTGTCAGCTATTTTAAATTAGTTGATTAGTTTTTATTTATCAATATCTATATATTTACTCATAAAATGTATTTTGACGTATTATTTATTAAATAAAAAACGTGTTTACGCATTAATAAAATGGAAAATTACCCTAAATATACCCTATCAGGTTGACTTCCACGTGGTTCCCCAGAAACAATTGTGGTTCATTCTTGCTGAATTCGTCATAATGAACCAACTGAACTGCCTTAATTCTCACCTATCATCCCTCACTAGTTCCACTAACGTATACCCACCGATAGCGCAGGCTGGGTTGCGATTCCATGTTTTTCTATAAAAAAATATCCTTAACCTATCTATACCAAAACATTGATGTTTATTTGTAATGGATGAACTCAAAAATTATTTAACCGATTTTAAAAAAGTTCTCACCGATAGGAAAATACTTTATCAGCGAATAATAGTTATTGAATAAATAAAAAAGGTATGTGATGGATAATGATCAAGTACCTTTTACGGGTATGAAGGGATTGTTAGTCAAGTTGACCTCCACGCGATTGCCCTGGAATCTACTATGATTAATTCTTATCAAATTTGTTAAGATATGTTAATTTCTTATATCATATTATTATTTAATGATCTCTCGCCAGCGTATACTGTTAGCGCAAACGGAACCATTATATTTTCATCTATCTAAAAAATAGTACCTTTTCACAGAGTATTGTACAATTAAAATTGATATTGTACATTCTTATCCTTAGCACAGATTTTTTTTTTAATCACAAAGGTGGATAACAATCATACAGCTCGTCTGATGGTTAACGGTCATCATAGCCTATAAACGCCTGTAACACTATATTAGGGGTTTCACGTGCGTGTTGGCGACCCTGTAAATCGGGTAACAGAATGTTATTATAATAGTAAATTTTAATCACGATGTGTGATGAATTTAGTGGGTACAGAGAAATAACACCTGAGTTCTCAGGAATGGCAACACATGGGGGATATCATGGGCGAAACAGTATACTCTGTTATGTCCATGGTACTGCTCATGTCTATAGGCGACGGTTACCAGTTTCCATGAAGTGGGCCGTCAGCTTGTTTGCCATTCTAAGTTGGATAAAAAAAAAAGATCTAGGGCACCACCGCACGGAGGTAGACTCATATTATATAGTGTTCCGGATCGCCGCTCCTACTGAATAGAATGTAAATAGTTTATAATATTTTTAATAATTTTATAATATCCTGATAGGAATAGTTTAATGCAAATAGTTTTCCAAATGTTTAATAGTAACAGTTTTATAATGTTTATAGTAATAGTCTTGTAATAGTTCCGAATAGTGATAGTTTTTCTTGTAAGAATTGTTATATAAAAAAATATTAATGAATATAATAAATATTAATAATAGATAGCGAAGTTGACCTCCGAAGAAAACTAACCATCATAGCGAAATTGAAGAAACCTGCGCTATCGGTATATACTGGTGGGGTACCAGTGAGGGCTGATAAGTGAAGATGAAGTAGGTCAGTTAGCCCATCGCGACAAATTCACCACTAAATAAATCACGATGGTTTCCAGTAGGAAACGCGAGAGGGCGATCTGATAGGATATGTTGCTAGTTTTTTTTTTTTTATACAACTTAGAATGTCAAACAAGCTGACGGCCCACCTGATGGAAAGTGATAACCGTCATCTATAGACATAAGCAGTACCATGGACATAACAGAGTATACTGTATCGCCCATGATACCCCTCATGCGTTGCCATTCCTGAGGAAACAGGTGTTATTCCTCGGTACCCAGTAAATTCACGCCATATCCCACCCTTCAAACCGAAACACAGCCATGCAAATACAGCTGCTTTACGGTTGAAACACGAATGGGACCTCTGTACTCAAGCAATCGACTTTGTACAAAGTCTCCCTCAGGTAGTTAATACTAACAACCTTATTAGGTTGCTAATTCCCATTACTAACAATCTCTTTTCCTCCCATTGGAGTTCCTAGCCCTCATTATTATGGTCTGTTTAAATAGAACTTAATAACAATGTATATAAACGGATATTCGACCCGACCAGTCTGTCAGACAATCTGCTGTATCTAATACAGGACTAGTGGATGATATATCGATGAAGATGTTATCAGGCTCATCAGAGTCAGGTTTTTTGATCCATCATGGCTATGACGATTTATAATTTTAGCTAAGTACAATAACTCCAAAGAAATTAAGTTTAATGGTTAAGCAATAAAATAGACATAGCGTTTTTACTTAAATATATTGTTCAAAATATAGTAGTGAAATATTTTTACATTTATCAGTTTTGTTAATATATGTATATTACTGACAAGTACAATACAATGCGTCTGCAATATGGCAGTGAAAGACAAGCAGTTGGTAAAGATCCATATGCAAAAATGATTAGGTATATTTGTAATTCTTGACAACGTAGGCAAATAATAGGTTAAAAAATTTGTCCTCTAATTGCTTAATCCGATGGGTTTTTTTCTTCAAGCATTTTCGTCAAGAAGTTAAAAGATCTACTAGTTAGTACTAGTCAGCCAGGATAGCAGAGAATTCCATCGGATTGGTCTGAAGGTGATTTTTTTAAATTCTCAAAAATATTTAAAAAAATTGCTTTTTTTATTAATATATCAAACTCAAAGAATAATAATTCTTTGAGTTTGAGGTCACTATCAACCAATGAAGTGTCCAGGAGGCTAACTGTATAACTAAGCTGAATACGAGTATAATCCAGTCTTTTAATCGCAGAAACTTTTATCAATCGGCGAGAGACATATATATATATATATATATATATATATATATATATATCTTTCAGCCTTTGGGGTACATACCGGCATGAAAATTTTATTTAAAATGTTAGGGCTCCGATCCAAAATCGTATCTCTCTTTATATTACTATTATTTCTTTTTGCCTTTACTGGGTGATTTTTTCGCGCTGCGTAGATATCTGAACTGGCCAAGTGCGCGACGAACCATGATCCCACGCCACCAAGACTGAATGCGTTTGGCAGCCGTGTTCAATCGTTCTTGGAGAGCAATGCGCGCAGCGCGCTCCCGCTTGAATGTTAGCCATCCGCGCATTTCTCCTTCGTGCAAATTGTACTGGTAAATACAAAATAGATTAAATATCACCATCATACATCTACTAACTACATAACAATATACATCTACTATAACAAGCTGTCTTCGTTTTTTACATAATGAAGATTATATTCCTAAGTTATTTTATTTTTAGGTTCCATAATTACCAAACGACTAAAATAACCTCATCATAATTTCGTCATGTCTCTTAATATCTCAAGTTCGTATTTGTTTTACATTTTTCATTATAAATAGAAAACAACGCTATATACTATTACACAAATGAAGCCCTTACATAATAATACCCCACGTAAACTATGTAGTATCTTCTCTTCTGCGATAAGACTGATTAGACAATAAATGAGTAATAAGGTATTTCAAATTTCAAAATGCTTAGCTCTATTAGCTATGCTAATTACATATATGTAATTCCTTTCGCCAACAGAGAATGCTTTCATCTGATTGCAAATTTAGTATTAATGATAGTTTATTTATGGTATAAGTGCAAAATTAAATGTGCTCCATAAAATTAACAATTTTACCAAATTCTGTAGCTCTTCGTGTCGCGCAATAGCTATGCGAAGCTGTTCGCATTTTTTCGATACTCTGTCACATATATCAGCAATATCTCTTGTATAACGTTCTTTCCAGTACACCAATAAGTCTTCACGCTCCTGTGGAAATATTAGAATGCAGATTTTACTTACGTTTCTTCACTACTATATTCATAGAATCACTACCAATACTATTTCTATACAATGTTTATACCACTATACTATAGACTTAGTACTACGTACCGTACCCATTTATTTTTTATTTATCCTTTTTATAGGTATTTAATCAATTTACATTTGCATAAAAGATACTGCATCTAAAAATAAGGTGCGACGTCAAACGCTTATGGAAACGCACAAATATTAGAAATAAAGTAGAAATTAGTAACTGGTGGATGCTGTTAAAATTTTATTTTATCTTCATAAGAGACCTATATCACGATAATAAATAATCTTGCTTCTTATTCTTCATATGCCTATACTATAAATATTGCATTATATAGATTTATAGTTTTTAATATTAACCTTAATCTGTAATTCGTAAGCCCGAACCAATTCGTCATGTACTCTCTGCTCATAATCAGCTCTGGGTAAAGGTGGGCGTGGAACATTAAGCTGCAATTCCAATGATTCCGCGCGTGCTATTACCCACTTCTCGGCGTAACAAAGACGTGCCTTAGCGTTTTGGTAATCGTCCTGAAAATGAAGTTGTGAGATATCCTACATAATGGAAAGTTGTTGAATACGTATCCCGAATGGTTCAGTAGTAGCATTCTTTTCAAAAATATATTTATAAATTTTTATAGTTGTCGATATTCTCGTATCATTGATTCGCATAGTTACCAAACGTTCAAAATACAATCAGTACATTAGTACTGTTACTTTTACTATGGTAATAGGCAAAAATAATATGGACCTCAATGCAAATAGGAACTATACATCTTTGTATCTACTTACTTTCATCTTGTCTCGAAGAAGAGCAATCTTTTTATCGGCATTATGTGTTTCGAGAATCCATTGATTTCGTTTGGTTATTAGCTCTTTAACAATGCCTTTAAGTGTCCTGTAATAAATAATCAAAAACTTAATTAAAATTGTATTGATTGCTTGACAGGTATTTACTGAATATGACCATTTTAGATTTCTATCAAATATTATACAGAAAATGATCATAATATAACCTAAAATTAATAATTTTAAGGTTTATTAAATTCTAATTATAAAATTCAGATAATAACCTCAGACGACTCGAACAATATAATATAAATTCAGCAGAAGAAGAATTTTCTATAATTCTTTTATAGTTCAGTTTTTCATAGATAAATATATTTATGGCAAATTAAAATTTTCCATAATTTAATATATTATATATAATATAGTGAAATTGAAATCATTAGTATCCTTTTAAGTAAATTTTCTAGTGTTAGAGTTAAAATGGAACTGAATGATTCATTCAACGTAACATAGGTTGAAAATACTACAATAATTATGAGCTTCTCATACTAATAGGGTGCGTCCAGCTATCAAGTATGTCTACGGGTGCTCAAGACATGCCGTTTTTCAACCTTAAAATTTTTTAGTAGAACCAAAGGAACACTTAAAGGAAAATGAAATAAAAGGACATTAATGTTTTCTATTTCATCTGTAGATAGTAGATACATACATTTCCAGCTGCTCGTGCTTTAGACGCATAGTAATCGCGGAAGAGAAGCGACTTTGAAGGACTTTCGTAGCTTGCTCCAGGGTGTACCATTGTCCTGTCTCCACAATCTCAATCAGGGTTCTTCGTATTACATCCTTCACCATTTGTCTAGTTTATAAAGTAATACCTCTTTATAGCGACATTTTCTTCGATTAAAAGTATATTCAAATAAAAAGCGGAAAGGTTTGTTTGAACCAGATACCAGTTGGATTTGAAAAATACTTTTTGCATTATTTGATAGCTTATTTCTTGAAGCAGATTGTAGGCTATCTAACAGAGGGAAACTTTGTACAAAAGTCGATTGCTTGGGTACCTCCATCCCATTCGTATTTCTACCGTGAAGCAGTTGTGTTTGTATGGCTGTGTTTCGGTTTGAAGGATGGGATATGGCGTGAATTTACAGGGTATACAGGAATAACACCTGAGTTCTCAGGAATGGCAACGCAAAGGGGTATCATGGGCGAAACAGTATACTCTGTTATGTCCATGGTACTGAAATCTTGATGTGAAAATCATGGAATGAAATCTTCGCTCTACGCACTCTTAAAATTATTAACTTTTTATCCCTCGTATTTTGTTATTGCTAGAATTTCTTTCACTGTACGCCATCTTTATCAATTTAACGATACTAACCGGTCTCTAGTGAACTTATCACATTGAGCTTTTTCGTTTCTGCTTTTACATTTCTTGTCTGCTTGTAATTCTGTGGTGCCCTCTGTAATAATAAACGCATCTTACTCAATCTGTCACCAGATGGCGGAAGCGGTTAAAAATTACTGCCATGAAAAATGAAATTCTGCTAATAAAATGTAATTTTAAAAATCATACAGCTACTTGAGCGGGACTATTCTTTAAATAATTATTGGAAATTGATTATAAAAGTAAAATATAAATTTAACGAAATTGTAAATAATATAATTTATGAACTTTTAACATTATTAATAAATAGTAATATAGTTCAAACCATTAGAATTTAACAAAACTCACTGAAGTTAACTAGCTGTGCTCGCCACGGCGTCCATGATACGCTTTTTCTTATTTTCTCATTAACGAGAATATCTATTTCAGTAAAATGCATGTAATACAGGTACTAACTAATTATCACACTAAATCTCATCAAAATTCATCTAAATAGTTTTACATAAAGCATGTTGTATGTATACTTATTTGCCACCTTCGTGGTTCAGTTTTAGTTTTATTATAAGATACCTACTATATAAGTACTATATACTACTTACCGAGAATACGAATTTGCAAAAGGACCACTTCTAATGTTAATGTAAATAGCAGAGCATCCATATTTTATTGTTATACTTAGATAAGTATCCTTAAAGCAGAAAAACAGTTGGGCATTATACTTACACATAAGATACCAAAATTGTTTAAAATAAAATAAAAAAAAATAACAGTTATTGTTTTTATATTACTTAGGTATTACCTATTTAATATTAATTATAATGGTTTGACGTTTTCTTATAAAAAAGATGTTTCTAAAGTAACTAGGTATGTACTGTGTCTATGTGTATAGTAATTTGATAATCAATTGTAAAGATTAAAATACAGCTCATTGTATTGTCTATACTCTATAAAAACATAAAATTTCAATGTATAGTTGCTATTTTATAGTTTTTATAGTGCAGGTATTCGAAACTATTATTCAAATCAGAACTGCAGAACAAAGTTAGTACAAAGCATTTATTCTATTATTTTCTTAGGAATATATCATCATCATCATTGTCGTCATCATATCAGCCATTATTTGTCCACTGCTGAACATAGACCTCCCCCATAAACTGTCAAAAGGAACACGACCATTCCTTATGGCAGTTTACCATTGGCGGGGATTTTGCCAGTAGTTAACATTTCTTGCAAGCGGATTAGCAACCATAGTTTGGCTTTTGGTGATGTTTTAAAAGGGACGCTGCTGCCCATCCCTCGACCATTAAGTTACTTCTTCAAGCATCCACAGGAAAGGAAGAGCTGGCCCATTCTATGCCGGAGGACTAAGAACCTAGCAACAACTACTGAATGTAGAGGGGAAAATGATTGTTAGCAATGGAGTTTGACAGCCCCATTGCTAGCAATAGGCCTTATTAGGTCGACCTCCACGTGGTTTCCCCTGGAAACCATCGTGAACATTTTTTTGAATTCGTCACAATGGGCTAACTGACCTTCTTCATCCTCACCTATCATCCTGCACTGGTGCCCCGCCGGTGTATACCGATAGCGCAGGTGGGGTTACCATTCCATTATCATCCATTAAAAAAAACTACTGAATGTACAAATTTCAGTTTAAGGTATGTATTTTTCATTTAGTTTCAGCGCGTTGAAAAAAGAGGTGGTTAATTTTAACCCAGGTAGCACGGTGAAGTATGCCACTCTAAAAATATGTCAATCTTTGTTTTAAGAGTATTAATACCAAAGCTTATCTAACTGCAAAATTAACAAAAACTACAAATCTCAATTCTAGCGCCATCTAGTATTTCGTGTGAAATTTTGTTTAATAACCAACAAACTTAAAGTACTACTATTTTACTTTTTAACTTGACAAATTTATCGTTTTTTGAGTTCAATATACATACATATTATAAATAATTATTGCATACAATTATATTGTTGCGTAACTTTTATAATTGTTTATTATTATAGTATTCTATATATAAGTATACATACGTACCTTTTTTCCTGTGGGTTACAGGACGGGGTATGTTTTTAAGCCGACATAAGTCGAGAAGGTGAAAACCAAAAAAATACTATATATAAGTAATATTATAATAGGTGTCAAATACTATTATTATAGTAAGCATTAGTCTGTTAGGCAGAGCAAGTAATAATAAAAAAAGCGGCCTCAATGAAATTATTGAAACAGTTTTTATAAAATAAATATTCAATTTTATTTTATTTTATTCGCGGATTATCTTAATTGAATGTCTGTTATATTTATAAATTTGTTTTATAAATATTATTTCTTGCCTGCGTAGGCACTTGCTTACAGTCGTAAACGTACCTTTAATATGCTCAGATACACAATAATATGAATATGTTCATGTTGTATAAAAAACATATTTATTTTTTTCTTTTCTTTTTTTTATTTTTAATCTTGATATAAAAAAGCATTTAGCCGAGAAAGCAACCACTAATTTGTCAATATTAAAATTATTCAAACTTAACAAAAGACCAATAATGTAGTAAGCTCCATTACGAAATGCTGATAAGCTTCACAAAACATAAACGCTATAAGCATTATATTTTACGATGGAAATTCCTTAGATATTATATAAAAACGTACCTATAATAAAAAGGTAATTTATTTCTACAAAATAGGACAACTGTTACGCGAATTAATTAAAAAAATATTTAAAAAATACACGGCGATTTTAATATTGCGTATCTTTTTGGTATTACCTTCTGTATATTTTATATCATTTTAGATACCCATTGATTTTAATTACGAATGGATAGCAGAATTGAAATAAATAGATTTAATACATTTTTCTTTAACGAATTCTAAGGAATGCAAAGAAACAAAAAGTTGGCAAATAATTTATTGGAATACATTTATTGATGTACTATATAAGTAGTATATCTAGAAGTCTGTTTGTAAATATCTAGTTTCTATTAGTATCCAAGCTGTCTGTTTTTAGGTATCTAGTGTCTACTAGTATCCTAATACCTATTTAAGATCAATTCTGAAATTATCTTTATATAAGAAGAAGACAAAATATTTAATTTATAAAACTTTTAATAATAGACAAGGTTTAATTAATGAAATTAAAGGAACTTACATGCATTTATTACATTGGCATCGAGCTCTTTTAGTATAACTATTATAATAAAATATTCTAGAAGTTTCGAATGTGTAGCACTATACTACAAACGTGTTTTACTAACACAATTAAATACTTTAATTTTGGTTTAATAAAATTCTAATAGAATTACTGTGATAACCTTGTGAGATTGATATCATAGCGACGCACAATGTGTTTGATCAATGTTTACATAATATTGACGAATTCGCAAAGGATAAGAGAAAATATCAGAACAAATACAGACGTTGGAAGTAATAACGAGTACAATCAAAATAAGTACTTTATATATACAGAATGAATATGAAATTGATAGTTGAATATTATCAGGTTTCTTCAGGATCAGCAACCTGCACGTAACACTTCTAATATTGCAGACGTCCGTAAGCTAAAGTTACCATCGGACGGGCTGTAAGCTTGTTTGTTACCTCTGTGGTATAAACAAATATTCATAAAAATTATGGGTCATATTTTAATACCTATTTATCACTTCAAAAAGAAGGAGGTTCTCAAGTTGGTTGTATTTCTTTTTTACGTGTTATCTCATATAAACCGACTTTAAAATTCTTTTTTAATCTGAAAGGATATACTTACAGATTAATTCCACAGAGATTTTATGAAAATCAATTTAGTAGTTTTGTTTTTAAATCAAAATAACTAATTTTGTCACAACTCAAGTCGGGTTTTTTGTGGAACACGGTATAATTATTTATATATTTTTCTTATTCATTTTATTTTCTTATAGCAATCATAATTGCATTAATAAGTTATACAGGTACAGCTCTTTTCCGACGTAATAATTTAATGTATACAGATTATACACAAATGTCATAAGTACACGTAACTAATTACAAAGGAATAGAGCCAGAATAACACCCATATCGAATCTATTTATCATAACATGAAGTTTCATTACACTTTTTTTATCACAGCCCTTTAGTATGTTACAACAAGGTTACAACATTATACCTTAGATCTGTCCATGAGCGTTTATCCGGAATTATTTAATACCCCTGATGATAATAATCAATTTTCCTCGACATTACCTTTCAATCATATATAAGGAATCCATTACTGTTTCACTTGCACGCTGTTCCGGAAATTAACAAGAAATTTGCTTCAGAATTAAGAGTCAAAATGTATTGATACACTTGTATATTCTCTTTGAACCTTATTGAATTTTAACCCTACAATAAACATTAAATATAACAACTTGTTTATGTTATATAATTTTAGTTGTGTATTATTATTATTATTGCGATCTTAATTGAGAGTAATAATGCGGTATAACAATCTTGTTTAAACATTCGTGTCTCTAATGAATAGCCAGCCATGAATATATGGATAAATTTCAAAATCAATATGTAGGTAACGCTTGCACTTATGACATTTTTGTATAATCTGTATACAATAAATTATTACGTCGGAAAAGAGCTGTACCTGTATAATTTATTAATACAATAAGTACAATTTATGTGACATTTTTGACTCGAAAAGATATTATTAGTAATGCAATTTTGATTGTTATTATTTTAGTAAACCTAAAATACGATGTCTCTACTTGCCTAATGTCTTTTATAGACCTACATATAATTTTTCAATTATAATTAGAATTTTATTATTCTAAGTAAGCAAGTACATACAAATAAGTAGGCACGCATATTATGATTAGTCTTGTATTGTTTTACATTTATTTATTCTTTTGGACATCAAGAAAATCGTTTACAGAGCTTGATGACATTCTCAATAAATCAACGCTGAACAAAAATATTAACAAAAATAAAAAATATTTGCAGTTATGTAGGTTACTTAGTACTTTTTTAAATGTGGTCATTGGAATGTACTCAAATGTCATTTCTTGTATAGATGAGTTGTTATTTGCAGTTTCAGACTGTATCCAGTCAGCTTGCATGTTGTGTTCAACAGGATTTTCCCAAATTCCTTCGGTTCTTCAGACCAGTGTTGGGTGCAAGCTCATATTTTGTGTCTTTCTTAATGACATCTACGTAACACCTGATCTAGCGAGTGTGTGTGTACTAGATTCCTATGTTTTTTTATTTGTTTTCTATATTGATGGCAGGTAAGTATTCATTTATTAATCGTTTCAAGAGGCGATACAGAATAAATTTCATGTTATTTGACATATTATTATAACCAACCATGTAACATTAAAAGATTAATTGTTACAAATTGTAAAGCAGTAATTATTTTTTTTCTTTTTTCTACAAAGCTATAAAAATTGTATAAGTTACATTGTTGGGCTAAGATAAGGCTTCTGAAAATTGTAAGAAATAAATATTTGAACTGTATACTTAGTACGATTGTAGCGATTAATCGTAACGTGTGTGGCTAACATTATATTCAAAGATCAAAATCATAGTACGTATTTACTTTGAATTCGATGGATTCAAATTTGATTAATTTCCCCGAGCTTTAGTACATAACGTATGTAATGATCACTTAACATCAATTACAGTTATCATTGTAACTATTAAATGCTCTTTGGCAAAATTTTATTAATCCTTAATGTTTGATATTATCAGCTTTTTGTATTAAAAATCGTTTATTTATTTTGATTAGTTGGAAATAACTTGAAACTACATAATGGTGGCAGAAGATACATATTGTTAATAATGGGAACTAATAGTCTTATTATTAGTAAAATACTGTATTAAATCCACCTCCATGTTCTTCCTCCTGTAAACCATCGAGATTAATTCCTGATGAATTCGTCACGATGCTGCGATAGGCCAACCAATCTAAATATGTCTTCACTTATTGTTATTCACTATAGCATTTCATTTCATTTCCATCTTGTAATTATAGTAGTAGACTATTGATATAATTAGTTTAACAATTTCAGAATTTGGATTTACAAACTAATATGCCTCTATAATTTATATCAGACAATGTTATCTACATTCATCTGTACAGACCGTTCATCAAGTTACTTATTATTTTTTAATCGCTCTGAAATTGAATTGAATCCGTGATCTCATTTAAGTAAACAAAGCACATTGTGGAAACTACCAAATAAGAATTCAATAGCCTATAGCATAGATATGAAAGATCATATCAATCAAATGAACGTGAGCGGAAACTCCAACTGCAAAAATCGTTGATGGCCGCTATATTTCTTTTGTATAATCATCATATAGTCTATATCACTCCCACAGTTAAAGCGAATGTAACAACACTTCATTTGTGAAAATTCACCAAGTCGTTTATGCTACACGAAGCACCAAGGATCCAAACTTATTACTTACATACCTTACCTACTAATAAGTCTGGATCTGTTTCTTTCGTGTATCTAAAAATAGATGAATACTGTTCATAGGTATGACAATAACTGAAGATGTTTTTCTTATTTACTTTAGGAATTCTTGCAGAGCTTCTCTGTTAGTGACTTCAAAAGTTATTAGTGGTATTTAGTCATACATACCTTCTTAAATTATCAGTATATGCTGCTAGTGATTATGTATGATACTAAACGGGATAAAGCTAAGAAAGCTCGTTACAAGAAAGAGAGGTCACAGGCCAACTTTGAATCGTATAAAAAATTACATAACATCAGCAACAGAATGTGTAGAGATACTAAACGCCAATATATACACTCCACTATCCGGAGCCTTAACCAGCTGCAAGTCTGGAAATTTGCAAAACATCTTTTGATATTACCCACGAAGCAATAGAGAAAGAGCAAGAGCGAGAGTTCCATTTTGTGATATTATATGCGCAAAGTTTAGAATCCATAGACTTATGGATGGACCATGTAAGACAGTGTAGAAGAGAAGAAGAACCTCTCGATACGTGGATTATGATCCCAATCGCGTTACAGGAATCTATAGATACATAAGGCTCATACATTTACAAAGGTTTGTGTTGGTTGACTTGACAAATTTAATGTATTAAGATCTTCTTCAAGGGTAGAAGACTCATACTTCAGTAAAATGGTAAACAATAATAAAAGCGAACATTGCACAGTTTATTTTTACTAGGTGGTTTCCTTAAGACTTTTGTGGATATATGACATATTATTCACGTGGAATAGGTTTTTTTTTTAATATTAAGTAATTAAATGGGGATTTTTGACAATTTTATTTGTCACTGGTCACTAAAAATGTACTGGACTATTTTTTTATGAAATTTGGTAGCGATAATTTAATCCTTGAGTTAACATAGAACATAGAAAAGTACTAAAACACATACCTAATAGGTATATCTATTATTCTTTCTTATGCAACAGATTTTTGCATAACAATTTGTAAAGAGAAATTTTACTAAGCTAATCTTTTGCTTGCTAAAAATTATCAGATGAACAGTGTTAATGTAAATTAGTACAACGGTGAATTGTAAAAAACTTTAATGAAAGTAAAAATACTTTAAGTCTGGAAATACCAAGAAAACATTTTATCTTATAGAGATTGAGCATAGAATTCCGTGGTATCACGAAAACGTAAAAAGTTTACAAAGGAAACGAATATTCGGAGTTATTTGATGAAAATTTTCTAGGCCGAATCAAATTTTGTCTATTTTGGTTGTTCGTTGTAAAAAAAAAACTGGTTCGAGGTAAAGTGTAGCTCTTTCGTAATGTAATCACGTGGTTCTCGAGGCTACGGTTTAAATTAAATCACCCCTAATTATCGCCCGTGAACCCTCGAGCCTTCTACAACGACGATCACGAGGTGTCGTAGAGACACGTCACCCTATAATATTCTGAATATTTGTCATACCATGCAACTTTGAAATACACCAAGTCATTGATACCTAAATCAATTTTTATATTTATGTTCTAAATATTTTAATCCATTATTACAATGGTATGATTTTAATTAGCTTTTTGGTATAGATACCACGTAAAAATATAAAAGATATAAGGCTATATTATATTAATATTATAAATGTGAAAGTTTGTAAGGATAAATGAATGAATGAATGGATGTTTATTAATCTTTCATGCATAAACTACTGAATGGTTTTGAATGAAATTTGGTACACAGATAGGTTGTACTATCTTAACTCTAATTCTAACTTAACACATACTATATTCTATTTATTCGTATTTACTTATTAACATATAATATATAAACTTACCTATTTACTCTAAATTCAATACATATAAATACATAAATGTAAAAACGAGTTTGTTTGTTAGATACTTCTTGATGCTTTGATAAACTCAATTAATTGTTATGAAATTAAAAATGTATATAGTATAAAAAAAAAGAAAAACAAAGATAGTCGATACTGTCGATATCTGGATGGTTCATTTTAACCGTTAACTGTCCACTGCTGAATATAAGCCTTCCCCATAAAGGGGGTTTTACCAATAGATGCCATGCTTGGCAAGCAGGTCGGCAACCGCACTTAGGCTTTTGAGATATTTTAAGAGGGACCCATCTTTCGACCACTTCCCAAGAGTTCCCTTAGTCGCCTCTTACGCCACCCATGCGAAAGGAAAGGGTGTTCTATTTTATGCCGGGACCATTTTGATAGATAGGTACCACGTAGATACTTTTTAATCTCGTTATTTTTTATATAGCTAATTACAGAGACGAAATCGCAAACACAGCTTGTTTGAGTAGGAAAAAAATCTGGTATCTTTTTATTTAATTTCCAAACATACCACGAGCAACTAATATTTTTTTTACTACATGTACGTCATACCTACTGTACCTACCTATCTATTCCGCGCCTACACTATAAAAATATAAAATGTAGTAGGTAGATAACATAAAATAATAATAAAATATGAACAAATAAAATGCTTCCTTTTATAGGTGAGTACTGTATGTATTGAAATCTGTTTTGATCTATTTTTTATTTTGTCTATGTTCTTTTTTTACTTTTTTGTTTTCCTTTTGAATGTTTAATTATGCTTTAGTAAAGACAATGGTCAGTACTTTTATCTTAATTATTACAGTTCTGCCTGTACCAGTAATTAGTTACATTTAATTATCTATAATTAATTATCTATGCTATAAAGTAAAATAGATTGTGTGATTTTTATGCAACTTAGAATGGCAAACAAGCCGACGGCTCCCTTGATGGAAAGTGGTAAGCGTCGCCTATTAACATGAATAACAAGGTATACTGTTTCGCCCATGATGCCCTCCATGCGTTGCCATTCCTGAAAATTAAGGTGGTATGCCTCTGTACCCTGTAAATTCAATGCCATATCCCACCCGTCAAATTGAAACACAGCTATGCGAACACAATTGCTTCGCGGTAGAAGCAATGGAATATTTATTCATAAAGTTGTATTCAAATATTTTTAAAAGTCCTTTCCTTCAACCGGAAATCGAACTAACACAAAGAGAAAACATATTATGATTTGCCTTTGTACTCATTCCATTCCCGTATTGGTGCCATAAAATACCTACTGATGATATCGGAAGTCAATATAATGATCAAATATGGACAATTATTGGTAGGTAAATATCGTATCGTATAAAGGAAAACTATTAAATCTACCTTGCGTATATAAATATAAGTACTTCTTCAATAGGCCATTGATATATCGAGAAGTATCTTTTAAATATCTTAAAATCATTAGATGGAGATTTACATATTTAATAAAAAAAGTAATGTTTCCTTTAAGTAAAAAATTCTAAAATAAAAAACAAGTACTTTCTACCTATTTTCCATCACGTATACTATGGCCATTATGTTTGGTTTTGCAATTTGACGCGGAATCCTGAAAAACTCATTAATTACGTCAAAGAAGTTCGTGCTGAGATTAAAGTTGATTGACCTATTTATTTAGAACCTTTTCATTAATGTAATAAATATAACGTACTTGCCATTGGAATAGCCCAAGTAATTGGTTAGCCAAATTTCCAACAAAATGCAGTAATTCCTTCTTGACTAGAAATTTAATTATGGATTCCTGTTTATGCCGCCTCTGCGCTTAAACTCACCATATCAAAGACATATTACATAGTTGTGTACAACTATTTATCACTTAAGTAACTCGCGGAATCTCGTTTATAAGCTAAAACTTCATACCTATTCGGTTAAATTAATATTAGGTATTTAGATTTCAAAGCCCTCTGCAGATATTATATTTATTTGTAAGAGGATTGCTCTATTACGTAGGAGGTAACTACAACATATGAAAGACATATGAATAATTTAACGTTTTTATTGAACGTAATTTAATATTGTATGCATCTATTACACTTTTCTACGATTTATACGCTAGTAGAGATCAATTTTGAACATAAAAATATTTATTATTATAAATGTATAACAGCTACACTGTACATAAAGTTTATGTAGAAACTAAACAACTATTATTAGCATAGGTACATCTGCAGTGCTTATATCTAAAGTTATTAAGTAAATGTTCATTAAAACAGTCAGCTAGTCAACTTAAACATCGCATATACAAATAGTAATATTTTATTTTTGGCACAAAAAAATCATTGTACAGAAAATTTCACAAATGAAAATTTGAGTTTAAAATAACACTTAATAACAATAACAGGAGTAGAAAAATACTAATGAAAACATGTTAGGAGAGATAGTGACATAGAAGAGCAAGGCTGTTTTCACTACCAACAAGGCGTCACGACAACTTTTGTGGGCGATGTTGAGCTGGATAACATACGCCACAATATTATCAACTAATGTTATCTACAGTTTGTTATATTATAAACCACACGTGTTAAGCAAAGACAATCAACTTGACAAAGCCTTTATCAAAATAATATATAAATATGATTGACAGCACTAATTGTAAGTTGTAAATTCTATAAACCATACTGTATACATTGATAATAAATAAAGATAAAATTTTTTGACTATATTTCTGTAAAAACAAAAATGATACAGATGTTTAAAAATGTTGCAAAACAAAGGCCAAAGTGGCCTCAGCATAAATTGTTGCAGTATACTATAGTAACAACACTGGTATTCTGCCAGGTTTCATAGTAAAGTCATGCGTACAAACATACAGGGAGAGAAATAGAGGACGCAAATACCACAATTTATATTAAAAATGTGATATAAATGTGTATATTTGCTGTAATGTTATAAAAGCTATTTATTAAAAGCAAACTCCTCCCACATTAAAAAATACCATATGTTGTGTTTATCAATCGTTTGAACTTAATATTAATATAGCGTCTTTCAATCAGTATTTAGTAAGAATCGAATAGGTTCTTCTATTGAGATGATTTTATGGCAATAAATGGATAGGCTAAGTATATAGAATTACGATATTTATTTAAAATGTATATTTTTATGAAAAGATTAGGTTGAAAACTTCAAATCACACGAGTGCATAATCATATTTTTTACGAGTGATAAGTATAGCGCTTTATATTACACCTACATGGAATTTATAACATATTTCGTTTACTTACTTCATTGTATATATTAAATTGTTGCAACTATTTAAATAGGTAAGTATAATACTTTTTATATATAAGTATTTATATAAAAAATATTGTAGAGTTACTTATTATGATTTAATGGTTAGTAGACTATTTAAATATCATGAAAAGTTTCTGCTATGTTATTTGCACTTTTTTTTGTAAATATTTTGAATAGGTTTATTTATAATTCGTTAAATAGGTATATCAACAAATTATAAATAAACTGGCGTAATATAGAAATATTAAGTACACGTACTTTTTGATGTCTATGTATTTTCTTTCTGGAATGAAATTGCTTTTATAGGAATTCAAATATGTAAAATATAACATGACCAATACCTAATGGATTTTCATACAAAATTGCCTTCTGCGTAAATATACCTATATATTTTTCATATTCTAGGGGAAGAAAGTAACTATCTATTTTTATATTATAGATTTTAATTAATAATAATAATTTATAAATTGAATATTAAAAGTTAATAGGTATTTTTCTTATATTATAAATGAGTCAATCGGTACAAGGTAGGTAAAAATAATTGAGCGCCAAGGATTTCGATAAGAATAAACGATTTATAACTCGTCAATAAATATTCAGACATTTTTCATGTTTATAATATTAAGGAGATTTAAAAGCCTGAATTTTTTTTAATTTTGTTAATTTAAATTTTTTTGTAACTGAAAGATTGGCAATAAAATCAGGTATATAAGTATTACTGCTTGTAATCATATTTTATTATAAAATTAAATAAGATTATAGTTAAAAATAGATATTACTTCTGTTTTAAGAGAAATATAAAAAATAAAAATATCAAAAGACCGTTTATTTGATTTAATTCTAGGATATAATATACCAAAATATCACGTATTGTCTTATTTATATATAGGTAGTTATTGAATTATCATGTTTTCATATATTATATTATCCCAAAGGTTTTTTAAGTTTTGAATTTAGATATTTTTTTTTTATTTAGAGTAAAGAAACCTAATAAAAACGTATAATACGTTATCCAATAAATTATTATATATTACTGGCCACATTTAACGGACAAACACATTGAAAATTCTGTATTAAACTACGTATTGCTATTACTTTAAAACTCTACGTGGTTTTGCATAGTGCAGTTTCGACGAGATAGCGTTTAGATGTAGTTAGTGTGTGTTCAGTTGACGCAGCATCTTGCTCCAGCCAGGTAGTGTCAACAGCTTGCGGCGACGGAAAGGTCAGTGGCCAATGGCTCTAGTTGTCGTAGCGAGATGATGCGGATTTCGCCCAGAATCCTATGCGAAACATTACGAAAAAGACAAAAATAATTAACAATTCAAATGTACTAATTCTAAATTGTCGTTCGTAAGTATGATACTCACTAAATATTTTTTGTGTACTTGGAATCACAAATAATCTGACTATTTGTGATTTCAAATACTTAAAATAATGAAATAGTTTTCTGTTCGACTGTCACAAAAATCGTAGCTGTTGCCGTGTGCATAGTGTCTTTTTTTAACACATTTTAAAATGCTTGCATCGAGGGACAAATTTTCTTCCATTGTAATATAGAGAGACTAGCACGGATGTACTCGTAATAATAAAGGTATCAGAGACATCGTTTTTTACTCAGAGTTGTGACCAAAAGATTAATTTTTATTAATTATAATTTTTGTTAACTTTTTGCAAAACATACAGAGTATTTCATATTATTTATTTTGCGAAGACTTGCAATTACCAAATGATCATAGTGCTACAATAAAGCAGGTTGTAATATGAGTAAATCCGTCGGGAACTGTTTTCAGTCGCATGGAATGAACGATAAACTATTAGGTGGACAATCAAACCGCAGCCACAGTACCTACAATCTTTGAAATTCAATAACAGGATTTAACAATGCCACTATACAGAACTTTGTTTTAGAAGTCTTTGAACAATTCAACATTTCAACATTAGTAGTTTATATAGTTACCTTTGACTTTTGCACGTTTGTATATAAAGATATGGAAATAATACAGCAACTTTATGATGATATCTTCTTTGGTATAAGTACTTAATTATTAAATAGATAATTATTTAAAACTTAGGTTATATACTATATTAAGAAAATTAAATTGCCAAATGTATCATATACATGTATAAGCGCATCACTACAGAACGACTACAGCTATTTGGTGCATTTTTTGTATTCTATTTAGAAATTATCAGGACAATGAAATGGAGGAAAATTTATGAAAAATCGTTGATTATTTCTCTTTTGCGAAGCCGGGGTAGGCAGTTAGTTTCTAATAAAATTATAAATATTTTAATAAAATTGAGGTTACGACTCTATTCATATCTTAGTTTTTTTTTTAAATACCTTGCATTTTGAATTCTTAAATAGGTTGAGATTAGATTAAACATTTTACATTCCAACAAAGTTCAAAATCTTAGCCTTCTGTAATCTGTTTCAGCTGAGTAAATCTCATTCATGCAGTTCCAATGAACTCGTGAGAAGAGTACTCCGTATCATAGTGCAATTAGTTGGCAAATTTTTATATAGTTTGACAATAAAACTAAATAATATTTAATATATTTTACAATAAATATTAAATATTATTCTCATATGAATACAAATAATACAAATAAGTACTTTCTAGGTCTATAGTACTCGTTACTGAATTACAATCGTAAACATGCAATAAGGGATAATTATGTTAAATTTTATGTACTTATTTTTAATACTATTAATAATAATATATGTGTTGACGGCTCACCTGATGGAATTTGGTAATAATAATATGAATATAAGTTGTACTATGAATATAACAAAGTACACTGCTTGAAGATTCCATATTTTCCAATGCCACTGTTAAATGATCTCTATTCCATCCTTGAAGACTAAGATCTTATGCCTTCATATCCATTAATCTTACAGCCATATTGCACTTTCTAAACCTAACATTTATACAAGAACTGAAATATGGTTTACCTCGTTTACCGACGTTTTGCAGGAAAAGTCGGTTCGCGACGGCTTGCCTTTGATTCGCTTCACGCATTTGTTTGCGGGCCACCTCCAACAGCAACCGCTGCCGTAGCACCTCCATTGGATTGTTGATTGAAAGCGACGGCATCTTGCGCTTCGCCCGCGCGTGACCTTCACTCAGCTCGCTCAGCCTCTGCGTCAACCCCAACTGACACTTTAAATCTCAAATTATTATAAAATCAATTAAATTAGACTAATACTCGTAAATACAAAACATAAACATATTTTACAATATATCTCCCTAATAGTGACATTAATAGAATTATTAACATAAAATGGTATATAAGATTATAATTTTGAAGGAATTAAAATCTTTTATGTAGAACGTTAATAATAAAACATATTATTGTATTAAAATAATTAAATCATACAATTGTAGAGTCGGTAGACGGATGGTCGTAAGACAGAAATGAATAATTAGTAGCTCCCTCGCACACGGATTGTATTGTGGCGTGGACGTAGGCGTAATTATACAGAATGCATGTATTACAATATACAGTGACGTCTCTCTCGCACTACGTGCATTCTGTACGATTACACCTACGTTACGATTCGCGTACGAAAGTGTTAAATATATCTATTTATATGTTTATCATAAATTTCATTATGAATAAATTTTGCACGAAGTCCTAAATATTGTAACAGAAAACCGTTAAAATTTACATACTACATATCAAAATAAAAACAGTTCGTGGTAGTTTAATAAAGGAAAATAACAAATAAAATGACTTATTGTAAATGCCAATGAATTTAACAAATAAATAATAATAGAATAAATATCATATAGGTACGTCTTAACTTCTCAGAAAGAACTATCTGTTAATCGTGTTGTTCTATTCATACTAGGATGTTCATGATTGAAAAATAATAGTAGCTAAGTAATGGAAGCATCACTCAAATAACTCACTAAATAGTAACCAATTTAATTTTTTTGCTATTATAATTGTGAAAATATTGAACGAAAAGTACGTAAAACTTTCTGTACGGATTTAAATAAAATTTGGTGTATATATGGTTTATATCCTATATATAATATATACTTATGATAAAAAAAATGAGAAAAATTACGTTAAGTTAAAATTAAGATTAACCAGGGCGAATTCGCGGGATACAGCTAGTCCTAATCAATACTACAAATGTAAAAATTCATTCATTATATTTATATATTATATTCATTCAGTTAATAGATAAATAATAATTTATTTATTACCACTTGGTTTGTTTACCGACTCAACGAACAATCGTGAAATGATGTAAACACGTGCCTATAGTTTTTATATTTTGAACGGAGAAAGACTTTTTAATTTGGTCAATTAAAATGTCTCAATCATGTGAACAAAGTTGTAAGAGACTATTAGTAAGTTTAATTAAAAAAATATAACTTGTAAATATATAGACATCGTCCATTATTCAAACGTATAATCGATTTATTTGATTTATTCATATTCTGTGAATATACCTAGCTAATTAAATTTTTTGAAATTGATATAGCTAATTAATTGTGCGATGTGAAGTAGGTACTTTTTCTCTTAAAAGTTATAAAAACAAAATACCAAGTTAGTATGCAAACCATAATATTGTACTTCTACTTTCGAATCTTCAATTTAGTTCGTCTCATAGTAAATTTCTTAATCTTTTTATTATTATAATCAATTAAATATTGTGCGTCTTTTTAGGTACGAACAATTTTTAAATAGAAAATATAACTAATTACAAATAAGTTACAATTTTCTCATAAAAGTACAAACTATGTAAAATTTGAGACGTTAAGATTTGTTTATAATATATATGGAAGTTTATTCTTATTTAAAAATAAAATCATTTATTACACAATATATATCGTTGATTAAAAAGACGAGAAATAACGTGACATTACGCTAATATAAGCTTTGACTTTCCTCAGTGTTTCATATACTCGTATGAAATTCCATATAATGCTGTATATCAAGTCTTACATTACACCCAGTATTATCTACGAACAGCCGTACTTGAGATTGCATGCTTCCCATTTCAAGCATTTCAATAAATGTGTGCATCTAGACAATAGCAAATATAGCATTCTGTTATTCCTAAGTATTTTAAAATGAGAATGGAAGAGTGTTTTGTTAATTAGCAAATAAATGTACCGCGTTCTTATCAATTTCAAACAATTTTGATCTGTGTACCTATACAAAAAAGAAATTTGAAATCTAACCCATGTCACTTGGCTTCGGCTAAGGCTTTATATTTTTTTCTTTCTTTCATCTATATTTACAGTCTTCTCTATACTCCTTCCCATTCTAGTCAAATTATCTTTCACACAATTCATCCGTCCTATCTAAAAAGAGTCTTCTACTGACAACCATTCACATCCATATTTAAAACTTTTTGAACACATTGTCATTGTAAATTTCCCCCTGATTTACGTAAGTATTATCTTAGAAAACTGTATAGACATATTTAACGAGGTAGGAAAAAATATGAACAAACTTAGATCGCTCATGTACTTTTTTCAATACACTATAGAATATATTTTTCGGATTTATACTACGTTAAATAAATAATATGAATAAAACTGCAAATACTTTAGACCATTTTTATTGCGTTTTCTCTTTTGTACTATTTTATTCTAATTATGATCTAAGTTACAGAACACCAATTATGATACTATACATAATATTCAATTGTTACCATAAATATTTCAACAATAATTATGGATGAAACTTTATAATTATCTAGCTCGTATCTTCGAATAAAATAAAACAGATAAAATAAAAGAAGAAAATATTATTCCTACTTTTGTTCTCTAATTTTACTTAAAAACTTATTACAATCAAAATTATTACAATAGTTTACATGTGACGACAATAAGAATAAACGATATGATATTGAATCCGGTTTACACATTTTGGAATATTTTGGCATATCACTTATCTACCTAATTTCATGTCAAATAACTCTAATATTCTTTAAAATACGATTTATATTTTTAATAAATATGAATACTTACATCTAACCCTGACCAATATTTTACAAAACCAATATTTTTTCCTAAAAATTCAATAATTTAACTAAGTAAACAAACTTCTTTCAAAAACGTGATAAAACATTCTTTACAGAAAATTTTGGTGCATCTGTATCATAGATCACATTATTAAAATAGTCCTATATTTACTATAAATAACTATCTACAATTCATTAATAATATTTAAGTACTTTATATGTATTGTTTATTGTATTTAAGTAATTACATGAATTTCACTCAAAGAGTAATAACATATATTTTTGTTATTGCGTCATCATCTTGCGAGCACAGAAATTCTGGAACAATCTACTGAGGTGACATGCTTAAAGATTACCCGCTTCCATCGAAGGAGACCACTTCCAGCCTGTAATAAGAAACGAAAATGTTATTACTAATAATTAAATGTTATTTCAATGTCTGAACACTCCAATAAATTGAAGTATCTAAATGAAATTGGAACTATAAAAAGAAAAAAAGAATAGAATATTATCTAATCGAATTACAATGTCTTTTTGAAACTAATTAATTTGTAGAAATTACAGGATACTCTAATTTTAAGGGGTTACTTTCGAAAGTATAATTAATTACCTAAGCTATCCCGTTGTCTGTTATTAAACATTTTTAAAATTTGATGAATAAAAAAGTAGTCATTAATGTGAATTAAAGGAGGAAAATATTTACAATATACAAAATGATGTACTATAAAAATAAATTATGAAAGGTTATGCTTTATTTATAATGGTTGGATAAGCTATATATTTTTTTTAATAAGTTAAAATGACTTTTCTCTATGTATTTACCCAACCTGAATACTATATTATCTGAATACTATATTCTATTTTCAATTAATTACTTATTATTATCAATTATATATGTAAAATAAACAAAATTTGCTTCATAATAATAATCGCCTTTTCTATAATAAGAACAAATTAGAATATTCCAACGCCGTGGTACGTATATAAAAGAGCAACTCTATGGTATTTAAAACCAAAGAAAAAACATAAATCTGAAATTAATTCGTAACCACGTCTTTTCAATATTTGTCTTTTCATTGATTCCTATTATTATTATTAGACATTAATCATCTATGACTTCCACCGTCGTAGTGTTTTTGAATTCTTTTAATACGGGGTCTTTCAGGGATAGAGTAAATAAGTATTTGAATTTGCATGTAATATACAATCGTCACTTAATATTAGGTAAAATTGTGGTCAAACGCAAATTTAATATATGAAAAAGAAAATAGGATATGTATAATTTTATAGAACTGCCGCGAACTCTATTCAGATTATCCAAACATAAGATAATTATCTAAATCAAAAAATACCCACCTCGCTTGCCAATGTCATTCAAGAAATTTCTATTAACTGCAGCTCTCAGGGCCTGAACCTTCCTCTCCTTTTCGAGGTTCAACTTTTGCCGGAGCACCGACATCGGCAGATCGATGGACAGTGATGGCATACGGCGCTTCACTCGCTGGCTGCCAACCTTCATTTCACCATCATGCGCCATAGATTAGCAACTGTTTCTTATTCTCTTTAGTGTGTTATATTGTAAGTATATAAATAAATATAATAGGTGTGAAAGAGATGTATGTATATAAATAAATAAATAAATATACTACACTATTAAATTATACAATTGTATGTATATAAAACAGATTTATATATATCTTGCACCACCTGCAATGCGTTGTGAAAATTATTTAATTGTACGTTATCTCAGAGAAATACGTATACCAGAATAGAAATAATATTCAGGATCTTATAAACTAGTTAAATTGTGTAAATAATTTCATATCAATCCGTTTAGTTGTTTAAACTCAAGTGAATCAAAAACTTAAAAGTAAAAAAATATATTTAAGTTTATGAGCTTATTACTCATATTAGTTACTAGAATGATAGAATTTAGATATTTAAAGTATTTAATAGAGCCATATCTATTAACTATGCACTTGGATAGGTATTTTTTTATGTTTTGATACACGTAGGCATAGATAATCATTAATAAATTGTTACTATACTTGGTACATATTAATAGATATAGTATATAGTCGGTATCTAAACCTTCATAAAGAAAAAATAATATGTAAATCATTGCAAATCTTCAGATAAAATTAAAATTTATCTGTCATATTTTACTCCAGAAAAATTATATTAAAACTAATTAATTAATACACAGAGACCTGGTAATTAAAGCAAAGGGAAAGCGTGTGCCGTGTATTAAATTAAACGTTCCTAATTAACAAAATTACCTATCAGTTCCAAAAAATTTTTCGCATTAATTTATTGCTTTTTTCACTCATATAATTCTTTATTACTTTTTTCATTTCAGCAGTATTATCAGTATTATGGAAATTTAGTACTTCGACTTAGAATACTTAAAAGCAAATAAATCTTTAATATAAAACTAAATACTTATTTAAAATACTTTATCTATTTAGATGCTAAGGGTTTGTTACATCATTACACCAAATACTTATAAGGTATCTGGAACAAAAAGTATTTAAAATGCCTTTTTAAGAGACACCATCCGTAACGCCTATTTATTATTCAACCCTACAGCAACACCTGTGACAGTTTTGGGAGGTGTCAAACAATCAATATTTTAAACGTACATTACAAGGTTATAAAAAAAAAGACAATATTTTATAACAAAAAATACATTTATTTAAAAACATACTCTATTAGAATGCTTAAGCACATTACATAAATAAGAATAAAAATAGTTTTTCACTTTTAATCACCTTATGATTATTATTTGCATTAAAAATTCGGTACTTGGCATATAAACTTCTGGTGTAGAATTGAATCTGAGGTTGTTTATTTTGAAAATATTAAGACGGCAATATTTTTAAGAGATACTTAATAATTTGTTTTGTTAAGATATATATATATATATATATATATATATATATATATTTAATTATATAATAAAATTCATTCAGCTTTTTGACTTGATTGTAGTGGTTTGTTTTTTTTAATTGCCCTAACAACTTGTTTCTTTCTGCTAATAAATTTACAAAGTCCAATAAAACAATGCACGATAAAATAAATTATATTTACTTTCTTTAATTATTTTCAAATTTAACTCAAACATAGACTGATTGAGTTAAGATATATTTTAATTCTACGTAAATATTTCTAATAGCGTCAAATAAAAATAAAGGCTAGATAAAGATAAAGATATATAACATGATGCATTTCTTTCTGTATACAATGTTACAAAAAAGCAAATAGATTAGCAATAAATACCAATGTAGTTCATGCCAAATCAAGTTTTACCCAAGTGTCTATGTAGATTGTTGGTTAAACTATTCAAGATACACGTAGGCATGTATTAAATTTTGAATTTTACTTGGTTTTACTTTTCTTTATTTTAACAAATATCAGGCCTCAAAGAAAATTAAAAAGTACTTGTCCTAAGTTTTCCCCCATTATAGATAAATTGTTACTATACTTGATAATTAATATTAAAGACAACACTCGAACAGAGCTATATTTAAATTGAAACATTAAACAGTATATAATATAAATTACACTATGCACAATATACGCAGCCATTTAGATATATTTAAAAAAATCTCAGTGTCTACATACTAACAGTTACGTAAATTACGTAGTATTAATAATATGACTAGTTGCCCTTTACGTTTTATCTTCTTTCTTCAGTTGTGACTACTCCATCGATGCTACAAAATACAAAAAAAGAATTAATAATTGTTATATTGAGCAAGAGTTGTACAAAACTAACATAGAGGGCTTCATGCATGATTTAGCTATTTAACATTCTATTACGCACTTTATTTACATCTCATCTACTTGGCAGCATTCGCTACACATTGTACAGCATATTTAACGGAAACCTGATTAATCATTCATGCATATGTATGTCGAACATATGTTATCAACATCAATATCTCTATACTGCTACTTATTCAATTCAAAACATTCAGATCTATTTTTATATATCAGACTTACTTATTACAAAACATTATTGATTTAACAATCGATCAGTAAATGATTGAACAATTTAAAACGGTTAATTTTTATCCAGTGTCTCACCTCGTTTTCCAACGCGGTTGAGAAAATTCCTGTTGTTTTGAACGAGTCGTTCCACGAGACTGTTGTACACGCCCCGTTGCAGAACATCAACTGGCGGGTTTACAGAGAAATCCCGACGTTGACGTGTCAACCTCACGTTGTTACTTGCCACCTTCATGTAAATCTTTTTAATGTATAGCCTTACTAAACAGTTCAAAAAGATAATTGGGCAAATTTATGTAAATCTAATAATGTTATTACTGTAATTATCCAATTTTTTTTTTATCTAAATACCTTTGTTGTTTTTTTTTTTTTATAATTTCTAAAATTCCTTGCATTTTTTACACTTTGAAAAAAAATCTGGCATCTTCAAATCTCGTGGGAGCCGACCCGTCTCTTGTTGACATTGTAATTTGTTCAACTAATTACAAACCAAGTCCTAACCTTCATAAAAAGGTCTGAGAAAATGTTGAACAAGTAAATAAGAAGGAGTTTATAAAGTCGAATTCCAGTTACTGGATTTGCTAAAATAACCAAGCGACGAATATATTTAGAAATGAAATAATTTAGGTAATTGAGAATTGAAAAATTTAATTAGCACTGCTTTGATTAAGGAGAATGTGGCCACAGTGCAATTACTTGTAACGAGCATTTCATATAGAGCAGTCATATTCAAACAACTTAATAATTTGCATGATATTGTAAACAAGTACGAGAATGTAGTTATCTACATTCTCGTATTTGTTGTAGATTTATATCTACAAAAGATACTTGTATTAATATAAATAATATTATCTATGACAAAAAAACTTTGCTGTATAATTGAATATAGTTTGTAGTAGGAAATGCTGAAACTTTTCATCATTGATGAGAGTTGCAAACAAACCATGATTTTGATAATATCACATATTATACCTATTTTTTATACCGAGTAATCAGTTATAAATCTACAGGATATATGTAATACAGTTTGACAAATAATTTTCAACACGAAATGAATACATAGCGTATTATATATAAAATAATGAAACTTATTGTATCGATACCTGTGACTCGTGGGGCATCTCAGTAAGCAAGTAAAGCCAGGGTGCACCAGCGTACCGGCCCCCCACCGCAGGCATGGCATAGCTGACACCTTCCTATAACAGACGTTTTTATATCAAGTACTATTTTCATCATATTATTAAATATACTTAATGATTTATCATTGATAACTATTAATATATTGCAACTGTACACTTATTAATCAAGTCTTCCACCAGACTAACCTGTCTTGTTATAAAAAAATATATTCGAATACTTAATAAAAATAAAATTAGTAAGAAGAAACAAACATTTGTATATGTAAGGGTAAATTCAAAATTTGACTGTCAACAACCATCAACAACAAATATATTTTGATGACAACGAAAATGCGTTTAAAATTGTCTTAAAGTATAAGTAGGCAGTCATGGCGACAACTGTGCAAATGTTACGGGACCAATCATACGATTGAATAGTATCTTATAAAAAAGTAAAAACATTTTCCTTTGCACATTCTCTGAAGCGGATTCGTACAATTTTCCAGCTAGTGAACAAAACACACATATTCAACCAAGAATACCTCACCAAACTACACACTTGCCTTGCGGCTCACGCACACTGGTTTTACCTATGTAAATCAAAGACAATATACACATACCTCGAAACTATCAAATTTATCCTTTCGACTTTGATTCTGATTTTTATTTGCCTTCAATTTTATTTTTATTTGCATAATAAAAACAAATAATATGTCACATAAAACATTTGTCTCTATTCTGTAAAAGCAAAGTTTAAAAGTAATTTTCATGCCATTCGGCATTATTAATTTGTACAAGGAATACATTATATATATTGTATATTTGGGTTTCATTTATAAAAGGGAACTGCTACAGACGACCGGGTGCTGCTGTTCATAGGGTCACAAATGTTATAGCGATATGACAACACTTTTAGAATACTAATATACTTGCACAGCACAACAAAGAAATTGCGAGAGTAGTATGTTTAAGAAGGGCCATAAGTTTTTATTGAGTTAGAAGCTTGAAAATGTTTACAAAACCTTTTTTACAAATAGGTATATTCAATTTGACTCTTTTGGAAAATTTTGTGAAAAATAATCTTAGTAATAGTAAACAAACAATAGTCTAAGAAAATTTCCTTTCTTTCTTAACAACGTACTAAGATCTCACTGCTAAGCATAGGTACGAGAATAAGAGAAGTATTCTAGTCTACTGTTACCATACTAGCTAAACGTTTACCATACTAGTAAAAGTTATTTCGAGGTCTTTCTCACTGCAACGTGCTATGTTTCCTTAGTTAACTCCCACGAGATTCTAGGGTTGAATAGAAGTGGTTCCACTAAAATAATTCGATCCACTAAAGTAATACGCCTACACTACGACTCATAGGTGAACGCAATTATTCAATTTAAATTGACTAAATATACAAACTTACATCATCAGGAGCAGGAGGGTCGATTTGTACCAAGTCGAGAGGTGTGAGTGGAGAGAGGGAGTCGGGCGCGGGCGCCGCCGCAGCGCTAACGCCACCAGCCACCACAACCGCGCACCATAGTGCCCACCACATCTGCAAACATCAAGTAGTTAAAGTATTCCCGTATTTGGTCGCATAGTAGGTAAAATGAACTTAAAATTATGATCAAGCGACAGTTGTTATGGAACAATTTGATCATTATGTCTTTTACAATGTTATTATAAAATGGTTTAGACTATATTATACAGAGTATTTTGTACTGCGTAAGCTTTATTGTACATTCTTATTTGAAATTCGGTCTAAATTACAAAAAGGACACTAATTACTTTATAGAATTATACAAGATTATAAACCTTGATATGGCTGTGTGGTCTCGATACAGAATACATCGTAAGAGGCGACTTAGGGAACTTAAGTTTAGAAGGATAGACAGCACCGTCTCTCTTAAAACATCACTAAAATGTAACTACTGGCAAATCTCCCCCTTATAGCGGAGGCATATATTTATATATAATAGTGTAACAGTTAACGGCTGGTATATCAATCTATCATCTATAGTCTATCATCATCATCATCATCATATATGATGATGATAGATATAATCTTAATTGTCTTTTTTAAGTTAGATTATGTTGTTAACTATTCTGGAGAAATAATCGTGTATCTAAACAAACTAATTCTATTTGAGATTTCTTTCGTGAATTGATCTGATTTCCCCGACACCGCATGTCACTTCATGAAGCGAGCCCCTTCATGCTTATCAAGGTTTCTAAAGATTTTTTTTCAACGTTTTTACTGTTTTTTTTAATTTTATATTAATATTCAAACTATGCTTCAAAATAATGCAAAAAAAAATACTTTAATTCATTTATATTGGTTTTCAACGGAAACACTGGGACTTGTGAATCTTATTATATCTCGTTCTATACCCGTGTTTTCAAGGATTACTTTAAAAAGATAAGCGGATGCCCACGTTTTAATCTTGGTGCAAAATTTCAAAGACATTCAGGTTCTAAAAATAAAATGATTAAATATTAATTTACATTAATTCCAGGTCCAGAGATAGATGGACAAAACGGTGTGCTATCTATTTTTTCAAAACCTCTTATATAATTATAACTTGTTTTATAACTTGTCTTAAATATATATTGTTTTAATTTTCTTTCTGTATGACATATGTATGAATTACTTAATATGATATATGTATGAATTACTTAATATCTACTCCTATTCCATTCCAATCCGTTTTTATAATTCTGATTTCAATTGGTAGAATAGTACTAAACTCTACCTCTACTGTTACGACTGAAGTTTCTTATTTTTGTGTAGAGCGTAATCTCATATTGTGGTCAATTAATACTAGTCATTACAAATATACCACGGACACATAGTAATAATCTAACTTTGTATATATAATTCCCATGCTTATTACAACTTAAAAAAAAAAAAACTACATTTATTTGTATAAAAGTGAATATTATCATTGGATGTTTAATTTTTTGTAATCTTTGCTTTTATTTTTTGGGAATGCTTATGACATTAATTTGTTTTTATCTAAGATGATCGTATCTAAGTTAAAAATAAAATACGTGTGCACGCACCAATCGCGTGCAATTGATATCGATTACTACTGTGTACGAAATTTCGCAATCTTTGACAAATTAAACTAGAGCAGGGCCACAATGTATATTAGTCTAGTGTTGCAGGCGTCCATAGGCTACAGTAACCGTTTACCATCAGACGGTCTATATGCTTGTTTGCTACCTTCGTGATATAAAAAAAAGTCTAAACACAACATTGTAAGTTTTCTTTATATTTTACTAGTTATTACCTGCGACTTCGTCCGAGTAACTAGGATTTTTAGAAAAAGTTGCCTGTTGGAAATTTTACGAGAGAGGAAAGAAACAAACAAAAAAGCAAACTTACTATTAAATTAGTCATATCATAAAAAAGTTTTTTAATTGTAAAGTTTTGCATCCAATTTTTTTCTACGAATAGATACTAAACATTAGTATATACATAGGCATTGAGTATTTCTGAAATGCTTCTTCATATTAACACTAATATGACGTTGTATTAAAGAAGCTATTGCATATCAAATTAAATAAAAGAAATCATGTATTATTTATTAATATAACGGTTCCTAATTTCTAAAACGTTAGAAAGAGCTTGCATTCAGTTGTTCCTATTTAATACAACAATTTGTTTTCATCTCAAATATTATATATACTATCATCCGAGGTACATACTATTATAGGACAGTAAGTAAACTCCGATTCAGTAGGCAATGGAGTATTTACAAGTCGTTGATAGATATGCCAATTCTTATTATCTTATTTAAGTACACCAGGATTGAAATAGCAAATGACAAGGTATATTTTTAACTGTATTTAATTCACGGAACATGGTTCCTACCCTGTTAATGCGTGATTGCATTTGAAAGAATCAAAGAAGATTTAATGACATTCTCTCTTCCTGTTTTATTGTAGCGAGCCGAATGTATTAATCTTACACAAGGTTTTAAGGAAATCTCTGACGCAGACGTAGAAAGAAACTGGGACGGAGATTTAATATGAAATAGAAATATACATATTTTTTTTTTTTATTTTTACTACTTTTTATCTGCAGCTTCGTCCACGAGATTAGGTTATGTTCATTGAACTGAACAAAAAGAAGCCAATGTTTTCATGCTAAAATTATATCAAATTTAATGACGATCGTTAGAACAATTACAACACCAAATAACAAACAAATACAATTAAAATTGATAAATAACAATAACAAATCGCAATTTTTATTTATCCAAACTGGTTGTCAAAACTCCCACTTGTTTGTCTTACTACATACTTATAATTATCTATTTGTAGCACTGTAACTTTCAAATCGATATAATTCAAAATTTAAAAATGGAAGGTTTTACAAAACCTTATCTCGTACATAACGTCGTCGCAAAGCAGTTGTATCGTGACTATTTCTATTATAAGGATAGGACAATAAACTAACAGGGTAACGTGGCTCCTTAACTTTCTGAAATGTACGGTATAAGGGTATTAAAACCGTAGTAGTATATTTTAACCAAGGTATTACATATCATTGTCCGTGTCATAAGGAGGGCGAATGGGGATGGGCAGCAACGTTTTGGACGTTTTGCAACAACAAAGAGATGTTTTATATCTCCAAAGCCTAACTGCAGTTGCCAACAATGGCAACTACTGGCAAAAGGGGCGGCTTATGTTCAGCAGTGGACAGTTAAAGTCTGATATAATGATGATGATTACATATCATATCTACACATCCATTCTAGATGATCGTGATAATTTCAACATAAACGATAATCAAAATAAAAAATTGAGTAGATCCAATTGTAGTAGAGTAGTAAGACTTATTGTACAACAGAATTAAACTAAATAAGTATATAATAATAATAATATAATAGTAATAAATAATAAGTAATAGGTGTAGATTATACCACCTATTCAGAATATCTCCCGGGGTCCGGATCGCAATTGATTGAGCCTTTGACTTTTGCTATTAGGGATATAGCCTCATATAGTATGCATTTTTGAAAGTAATCTCATAAATATTCAACAGATTTATCCATTCTGATCATGCTCGACGGTTCACGTACGTAACATTACCACGTACACAGTTTGACTTTTAACATCTATTATACTTTTACCATTTAATAATAAGTGAAATAAGGCAATAACATAATGTACAAAATTCGATATAATTTTACTTTTTGTACAATATTACATTTTTAACCAACTTCCAAAAGATGAAGGTTTTTATTTCGTCTGTATTTTATTCTACATTTACACTACGCGGTATTCCCTCTAATTCTCACTAATTTTGACAACTATTTTTTTTAATCGGTATATGTATTTTAATAAGGGATGATCTATTTTAATGATGATGAATAATGATGAATATATTTTAATGATATCGTACTATTATTGCTAAAAAGCTAAAATTCTTAAATAAGTAACTACACGTAATTTAAGAGGAAATAGACGCGGTACTGATCGGGTGGTAGCACAAAAATTTCAAAGAATTATAGCAACATTTTTTTTTTATGAATTATTACTCCCCGAATAGAATATTTATATATTAATCTAGTTATAGAAAACCTTATATTCCATTTCACTAGATATTAATTTAGGCTTGGATACATGTAAGCTATGTAATAAATTTAAACCTTTTTTGTTTATTTCAATTCAGTTAATACATAAAATATCTAAACTTTAAATAAATTTGTCCTGTCTGATAATTGTTTAAATATTATATAACCAATAAAATATAAATAAAATTTAATCGAATTGAGTAACATTTTATAATAGTAATATTCGTATGGGTAAATAAAATTTTCGAAAATAATATATATCCTATGTTACACGCTGATCATGTAACTTTCTATAAGTGAAAGAATTTTTTAAATCGGTTAAGTAATTTTTGAGTTTATCCATAACAAATAAACAAGTAATCAATAAAGTCAAACAAAGGAACAACAATTTTTAAAACAATGATTCTGCCAACTGTACAAACATGGATGTATAATGTGGTACGGAGCAATGTGGTACGGAGCTTCATTATGGCGTTATGTAGCCGATATCTAAAGTATTTTTATATTACAAAAACGTGCCATTCGTGCTATTTACTGTTATGGGAAGTCGTGACTCATTGAGATATAAATTTAAAGAAGCATTTATCCCCACTGTAGCTTCAACATATATATAATATATAGGTGAACATCATGAAAGTATATCTGTAGCGGAGAATCTTATAATTTCTATTCAACATATAACAATATACTTTTGAAACTACAGCAGATGGCCTACTCAAAATTTATTTTGATTTGATATACTATATCAATATATATGTGTACTAATATAATATAGAGACAGAGTTTGTTTTTTGAACGTGCTTGTCTCTATAACTACCATTTTGATACATAAAATTCTTTTTACACTTAATAGTTCTTTTCTTGAAGAAAATTTTATATTACGATACAATCTCGGCCGAAGTCGCAGCATAGCTAGTATAATATAAATTCTTACTATAATTTAGAAACGTAAAAATATGTCTTAATAGTT